CCCCCCCCCCCCCAAGTTGTGCCAGGGATTGGATGTGGCTGTTTTCTCAGTATAATAACCTCAGTTGCATTCCTACCACGTACCTCAATTTGAGAAGCAGGGCTTGTTAATATAAAAGTCAACTCAGGAGCAGAGTGAAAGATAAGAGTATCAGAAAGAAACTGTGCAGATGGAAAAGGGTGGCAACAAGGGGGGAAAACTCAGTTACTACTTGATTAATTGGAATCTTCACTGTTTATACTTTGAAATCTGCTGAAGGAAACAAGCCTCGTCTGCACTGTCATTAAATTGAGAAGAAATCTTAAAGTGAAAAAGGTTTTTTGGTTCATAAGCAGTGCTGTCTCTATGCCATTTGTATCTTTGAAGGAATCCTGTTATAGTCAGTAGTTTTGTAGGCAGTAAGATAGTGTTGATGATGTTTCATGGATCTACTATGAAGAAAGGGAGAGTATTATATTCAAAACTGGGTGGTTTTCCTAAAGATGTGGCCTAAGGAGGTTTGGCTAGCAAGGATTCATTCATTCATGCAGTTGTCATTTGCTGTGACCGTTGTGGATTGGAAGCTGTACAAGGCGCCACTGGTAGAAAGATGAAGGCCTGGTCCCCAGGCTCGCAGGAGACGCAGACGCCCTCAGTGTCAGGGGTGGTGGACGGACAGGGGTCATGCGTGAGAGGAGCCGAGGCTGATGCTCTGGGAAGGGAACAGGAAGCAGAGGCTGTGGTGGAGGAGGCCGAGGCTGATGTGTCCGGGGAGGAGGGTAAGGAGGGCGGGGGCAGGAGCCTGATGGGTGGAGGACCGGGGTGATTGTCCGAGTGTGCTGCTGGGGCCCCCCTCTGGTTACTTACTTCTCTGGCCTCGGTGCCCGTTCTCTCCTCGATCTACACAAATTCCTTGTTTAAAAAGCCAAGGACGTGAAACACAGAAAGGGTGGCCATGCAGGAGGGCTGTGGACATCATCCGTGTCCCAGGAGATGATGGGGTCATTTTATGCATCAAATAAGTGAAGGAGTCACATATCTGTTTCACTTGTGGAATTGGTGACAGTTCCTGGCCAGATCCTATTGAACAAATAGCCTGCTTCTTGATTGGTTGGTGAGCATTTGTGTTTGTGTCGTTACCTTTTCTAAACATAAGTTTGTTTTCGAACTCTATGAGTCTGTTTCTGTGTTGTTAATAAGTTCATTTGAATCACTTTTTCTTTAGATTCCACATGTAAGTGATATCACATTTATCTTTCTCTGACTTCCTTCCTTCCCTTAGTATGATCATCTCTAGGTCAATCCATGTTTCTGCAAATGGCATTATTTTGTTCTTTTTAATGGATGAGTCATATTCCATTCTATGCATGTACCACATCTTTGTCCATTATTCTGTCAGTGGACATTAAGGTTGCTTCTCTGTCTTGGCTCTTTTAAATAGCACACGAATGTCTGGTGCATGTGTCTGTTGGAATGATGGTTTTCTCCAGATATACGCCCAACAGTGAGATTGCCGGATCATATGGTAGCTCTAGTTTGAGTTTTTAAAAGAACCTCCATACTGTTCTCCATAGTGGCTGTTACCAATTTCCATTCCCACCAAGACAGTAAGGTTCCCTTTTCTCCATGCTCTCTCCTGCATTTATTATTTGTAGACTGTTTGATGATGGCCATTCTGAATGGTGCGAGGTGGTGTCTTGTTGTAGTTTTGATTTGCATTTCTCCAATAATTAAGGATGTTGAGCACATTTTCATGTTTTTTTTTTTATACAGTGTGAGGAGAATGTACCTTAAGAAGCTGGCTTCCTGAAAGTCAGCCCTGTTTTGAATTCTTTTTCCTTTTTTTTTTAACATCTTTATTGGAGTATAATTGCTTTACAATGGTGTGTTAGTTTCTCCTGTATAACAAAGTGAGTCAGCTATACATATATCCCCATATCCCCTCCCTCTTGCGTTTCCCTCCCACCCTCCCTATCCCACCCCTCTAGATGGTCACAAAGCACTGAGCTGATCTCCCTGTGCTACGCGGCTGCTTCCCACTAGCTAGCTGTTTTACATTTGGTAGTGTATATATGTCCATGCCACTCTCTCACTTCATCCCAGCCTACCCTTGCCCCTCCCCGCATCCTCAAGTCCATTCTCTATGTCTGTGTCTTTATTCCTGTCCTGCCCTAGGTTCTTCATAACCATTTTTAAAATATTCCATATATATATGTGTTAGCATATGGTATTTGTTTTTCTCTTTCTGACTTACTTCACTCTGTATGACAGACTGTCCATCCATCTCACTACAAATAACTCAATTTCGTTTCTTTTTATGGCTGAGTAATATTCCATTGTATATATGTGCCACATCTTTTTTATCCATTCATCTGTCGGTGGACACTTAGGTTGCTTCCATGTCCTGGCTATTGTAAATAGTGCTGCAATGAACATTGTGGTACATGACTCTTTTTAAATTATGGTTTTCTCAGGGTATATGCTCAGTAGTGGGATTGCTTGGTCGTATGGTAGTTCTATTTTTTTTTTTTTTTGCGGTACACGGGCGTCTCACTGTTGTGGCCTCTCCCGTTGTGGAGCACAGGCTCTGGATGCACAGGCTCAGCGGCCATGGCTCACGGGCCTAGCCGCTCCACAGCATGTGGGATCTTCCCAGACTGGGGCACAAACCCGTGTCCCCTGCATCGGCAGGTGGACTGTCAACCACTGTGTCACCAGGGAAGCCCTATTTTTGTTTTTTTAAGGAACCTCCATTCTGTTCTCCATAGTGGCTGTATCAATTTACATTCCCATCAACAGTGCAAGAGGGTTCCCATTTCTCCACACCCTCTCCAACATTTATCATTGTAGACTTGTTTGTGATCACCATTTTGACTGGTGTGAGGTGATATCTCGCTGTAGTTTACTTTTTAAATTTTTTATTTAATTTTATTATTTTTTGGCTGTGTTGGGTCTTCGTTGCTGCCTGTGGCCTTTCTCTAGTTGTGTGAACGGGGGTTACTCTTTGTTGCGGTGCACAGGCTTCTCATTGCAGTGGCTTCTCTTGTGGTGCACGGGCTCTAGGCACGTGGGCTTCAGTAGTTGCAGCACGTGGGTTCAGTAGTTGCTGCATGTGGGCTCTAGGGTGAGTGAGCTTCAGTAGTTGTGGCACACAGGCTCAGCAGTTGTAGCTCGTGGGCTCTAGAGAGCAGGCTCAGTAGTTGTGGAGCACGGGCTTAGTTGCTTCGCGGCATGTGGGATCTTCCTGGACCAGGGCTTGAACCCATGTCCCCTGCCTTGGCAGGCAGATTCTTAAACACTGTGCCACCAGGGAAGTCCCTGTTTATCTATTTTAAGTATAATAGTGTGTATACGCTAATCCCAAACTCCCGTTTTATCCTTCCCCACCACCTTTCCACTTTCGTAACCATAAGTTTGTTTTCTAAGTTTATTTGTATCATGTCTTTTGGTTACTGAGTTGTATGAACTATTTGTATATTTTGGGAATAAGCCTTTTCAGTCAAATTGTTTGCAAATATTTTATTCCAGTCCACAAGTTGTCTTTTCATTTTGTTTATGCTATCCTGTGCTGTACAGAAGGTTTTAAGTTAGATTAGGTCCCATTTGTTTATTTTTGCTTTTATTTTGTTTGCCTTGGGAGGCTTACCTAAAAAAATATTGGCACGATTTATGCCAGAGACTGTTTTGCCTGTATTCCTTTCTAGGAATTTTATGATGTTACATTTTATATTTCAGTCTCTAAGTCATTTTGAGTTTATTTTTTTGTATGGTGCAAGGGAGTGTTCTAACTTCATTGATTTACATGGCCCTATCCAGCTTTCGCAGCACATTTTGCTGAAGAGACTGTCTTTTCTCTGTTGAATATTCTTGCCTCCTTTGTTGAAGATTAATTGACTGTAGGTGTGTGATATTGTTTCTTGTCTTTCTATTCTGTTTCTTTGACCCATATGTGTGTGTTTGTGCCAATACTGTACTGTTTTGATTACTGTAGCTTTGTAGTATTGTCTGAAGTCTGGGGGCATTATGCCTTCAGCTTTCTTCTTTTTTCTCAGTTTTGCTTTGGCAATTCTGGGTCTTTTGTGGTTCCATATCAATTTTAGGATTATTTGTTCTAGTTCTGTGACAAATGTCATGGGTAATTTGATAAGGACTGCCTTAAATTTGTAAATTGCTTTGGGTAGTATGAACAATATTAATTCTTCCAGTCCAAGATCATGGGATATCTTTCCATTTCTTTGAATCATCTTCAATTTTTAAAAATCAACGTTTTATAAGTCTCAGTGTATAAGTCTTTCACCTCCTTATTCAGGTTTATTCCTAGGCTTGTTTTTTTCTTCTTTTTTTTTTAAGATGCACTTTTTTTTTTTTTTTTTTTGGCGGTCCGCGGGCCTCTCGCTGTTGTGGCCTCTCCCGTTGCGGAGCACAGGCTCCGGACGCGCAGGCTCAGCGGCCATGGCTCACTGGCCCAGCCGCTCCGCGGCATGTGGGATCCTCCCAGACCGGGGCACGAACCCGTCTCCCCTGCATCGGCAGGCGGACTCTCAACCACTGCGCCACCTGGGAAGCCCTAAGATGCACTTTTAAAAGCGATTGTTTTTTTACTTTTCCTTTCTGATATTTTATTAGTGTAAAGAAATTCAACAGATTTCTGTATGTTAATCTTGTATCCTGCTACATTGCTGAATTCGTTTATAAGTTATAGTAGTTTTTTGTGTGGAGTCCATAGAGTTTATACATACAGTATCAAATCATTTGCATATAATGTCAGTTTTACCTCTTCCCTTCCACTTTGGATATCTTTTATTTCTTTTTCTTGTCTGATTGCTGTGGCTAGGACTTCCAATACTATGTTGATTAGAAGTGGTAAGAGTGGGCATCCTTGTCTTCCACATTTTAGCAGGAAGGCTTTCAGCTTTTCACTGTTGAGTATTATATTGGCTTTGGGTTTGTCATAAATAGCTTTTATTATCCTGAAATATGTTCCCTCTATGCCCACTTTTGTAAGAGTTTATATCATGAATGGATGTTGCATTTTATCAAATGCTTTTTCTGCATCATTTTAAATGATCATGTGGTTTTGGTCTTTTCTTTTGTTGATGTGGTGTATCACATTGATTGATTTTGTGTATGTTGAACCATCCTGTGACACTGGTATGAATCCAACTTGATCATGGTGTATAATCCTTTTCATGTGTTGTTGGATTCAGTTTGCTAATACTTGGTTGAGGATTTTTACATGTATGTTCATCAAAGATACTGGCCTGTAATTTCTTTTTCTGGTAGTGTCTTTGTCTGGTTTTGGTATCAGGGTGATGGTAGCTTCATAGAATGACTTTGGGAGTGTCCTTCCCCTTCAGTCTTTTGGAAGAGTTTGAGAAGGCTTGGTATAAGTTCTTCTTCTTTGTATGTTTCATAGAATTCCCCAGTGAAGCCATTTGGCCCTGGACTTATGTTTGCAGGGAGTTTTTAAAATTGCAGATTCTATTTCACTTCTAGTGATTAGTCTGTTCAAATTACCTATTTCTTCTTGATTCAGTTTTGGCAGGCTGTATATTTCTAGAAACTTGTCCATTTCTTCTAGGTTGTCCAATTTGTTGGTATATAGTTGTTCATAGTATTTTCTTATTGTTTTTTGTATTTCTGAGGTATTGGTTGTTATTTCTCCTCTTCCATTTCATATTTTGTTTATTTGGGTCCTCTCTCTTTTCTTGGTGAGCCTTCTCAGAGGTTTTTCAACATTGTTTATGCTTTCAAAAACTGGCTCTTGGTTTTATTGATTTTTTTCTATTTTTTAAAAATCTCTATTTGTTTCCTCTCTGATCTTTATTATTTCCTACCTTTTGCTGACTTTAAGTTTTGTATGTTTTTCTTTTTCTGATTATTTTAGGTGATAGGTTAATTTGTTTATTTGAGATTTTTCTTGTTTTTTTTGAGGAAGGCCTGTATCGCTATGAACTTCCCTCTTAGGACTGCTTTTGCTGTATCACATAGATTTTTGTATGGTTGTGTTTTAATTGTCATTTGTCTCAAGTATTTTTAATTTCCTCTTTGATTTCATCATTGACCCACTGGTTTTTTACTAGCATGTTGTTTAGTCTCCGTGTAATAACTTTTTTCTTGTTTCTCTTTCTGTGGTTGATTTCTAGTTCCATGCTACTGTGGTCAGAAAAGATGCTTGAAATAATTTCTATCCTTTTAAATTTGTTGAGGCTTGTTTTGTGTCCTAGTATGTGGCCTGTCCTAGGGAATGTTCCATGTGTGCTTGAAGAGTATGTGTATTCTGTTTTTTGGGGGGATGTAATGTCCTGAAAATATCAATTGAGTCTAACTGTTCTGTTGTGTCATTTAGGATCTCTGTGGCTTTACTGATTTTTCTGTCTGGAAGATCTCTCCCTTGATGTCAGTGGATTGTTAAAATCTCCTACTATTGTTGTATTCCTGTCAATAGCTCCCTTGGTGCATTAGTATTTGTTTTATGTATTTAAGTGCTCCTATATTGGGTGTATATATGTTAATAAGTATAATATCCTCTTCTTGTATTGATTCTTTTATATAGTGTCCTTCTTTTATGGCCTTTGTTTTAAAGTCTGTTTTGTCTGATGTGAGTATTGTTACCCCTGCTTTCTTGTCATTTCCATTTGCATGAAATAACTTTTTCCATCCCTTCACTTTCAATCTATGGGGGTCTCTTATAGGTAGCATATTGTAGGCTCTTGTTTTATTATCCAACCTGTCACTCTGTGTCTTTTGATCAGAGCATTTAGTCCATTGACATTTAAGGTAATTATTGTTAGATATATATTTATTACCATTTAAAATCTTGCTTTCCAATTGATTTTGTATTTCTTCTTTGTTCCTTTATTTTTCTTTTTGTTTTCCTTTTGTGGTTTGATGGTTTTCTTTTGTATTACGTTTGAGTTCTCTTTTTTTGGTTTTTGTGAATCTATTGTATGTTTTTTTTGTTTTGTTTTGTTTTTTTGCGGTATGTGGGCCTCTCACTGCTGTGGCCTCTCCCGTTGCGGAGCACAGGCTCCAGACGCGCAGGCTCAGCGGCCATGGCTCACGGGCCCAGCCGCTCCGCGGCATGTGGAATCTTCCCGGACTGGGGCATGAACCCATGTCCCCTGCATCGGCAGGCGGACTCTCAACCACTGCGCCACCAGGGAAGCCCACATTTTATGATTTTTGATGTCCTCTTTTACATCTTCATGTTTTGCTATTCATTGTAGTTGTAATCACTTTCACAAAAAAATTTTATTTTAATCTATGTACTGGCTTATTTAAATGATTTACTTTCCTATTTTGATTTTATGTTTCCAGTACCTTCTTCTTTTCTGTTTAGAGAAGACCTTTCAATATTTCTTTAGGATAGGTTTAGTATTGCTGTATTCTTCTAATTTTTGCTTGTCTGAGAAATTCTTTATCTCTCCTTCTATTCTAAACGATAATCTTGTTGGGTAGAGTGTCATCGTTTCCCTTTGAGGACTTTGAATATATCTTGCCACTCCCTTCTGGCCTGCAAAGTTTTTGCAGAAAAATCCTCTGATAGCCTTATGGTGGGGAGGGGGTTCCTTTGTAATTGACTCTGTTTTTCTCTTGCTGCCTTTAGAATCTTCCCTTTATGTTTAAATTTTGCCATTTTGATTATAATATGTCTTGATGTAGGTCTGTTTGGGTTCATCTTCTTTGGAAGTCTCTGTTCTTCCTGTATATGTACATGTGTTTCCTTCTTTAGATTTGGGAAGTTTTAAGCCATAATTTCTTCAAACAGATTTTCAATCCCCTTTTCTCTTTCTTCTCCTTCTGGGATCCCTATTATGTGTATGTTGGCTCTCTTTGTATTATTCCAGAGGTCTCACATACTGCTTTCATTTTTTCTTTCATTTGTCTTTCTGTCTGTTTTTCTGATTGGGTGATTCCCATTATTTTATCTTCCAGGTCACTTATTTGTTCTTCTGCATTATTTAGTTTGCTATCCATTGCCTTTAGCTCGGTTTTCATCTTGGCAAATGAGTCTTCTAATTTTGATTGGATCCTCTTTATAGTTTCTAATTCCTTGTTACAGTGATCTACATTTCTATTGATAGCTTTTCTTAATTCCTTTATTATTTTTATTATCTCCTTTTTGAACTCGGGGTCTAGTAGCCTGGAAAGGTCTGTTTCATTGTTTGTTCTTTCAGGGAAATTCTCTTGTTCTTTTAATTGGGAGTGGTTTCTTAGTTTCTTCATTTTACTTATTTCTTTGACTCTATGAATTTAGGAGTAACAGTTATCTACTCTGCTCCTGTAGGGCTGTTTTTATGTGGGAGCATCCCGTGTAGCCTGTGTGAGTCTAATATTTTTGGTGTGAGGGCTGTCTTTAGTATGGATGCCTGCCATCTCTTTCCTCAGTGTGTGCTGGCCATTATCCCCTGGATAGGGGGTGTGATTGTTTTTGTGATGACCAGAGCCTGCACTGGATGTTGAGTGGGGCTTCTTGTTTGCTCTGTGGTTGTCACTGCCCTGTGACAGGGTCTGCTCCCCAGCTGTCAGAGTAGCAGCCTCCAGATCTGTCTCTAAGCTGTGGTGTGAGGTCGGTGAAACTGGAGTGCTCCCACTGGGAGAGGAGCTGCTGAGTATTCCTCTGCAATAAGTGTCAACTGGGAAGTGGGCTTTATGGCATTGCCCAGCACCCGTGGTGTGTGCTCACAAAGTACACTGTTGTTGGCACTGCCCTCAGCCCCGCCTCAGTCATGGGAATGCTGGCAATTGGCCCAGGTATTTCTCAGGCACTGTGCTTACAAAGCCACAGGTGCAGATCTGCCAAAGTCCGGCACCAGACCTGCTGTAGTCACACACCTGGACCTACTGTGGGAACTATGGAATCAGCATGGACCCTGGCCCTGCCTCTGTGTGTGTGCCTGCAAAGCCCGCTGCTGCTAATGCCGGGCCCACCCCAGCCATGGAGCACCAGTAATCCACATAGATGTTCCACAGGCGCTGTACTTACGTAGTCAAACAGCCCCTGGGAATTGGCTCTGATTTCAGCCCCACCTCCACATGTGGGCCACCTGCCGGGCTTGTGTGCTCCCAGAGCTCATAGCAGCAGAGCTGTGCCCACTGTGAGCACACCGAGAATGAGGCTGCTATGGCAGGGACATGCCCCTCCCTTTGCCATGTGTTAACAGTGGGGGTTCTGTGGCGGACCCAGGCCCTGCCCTGCGCACACCCCCGGTTGCGGCCTGGACCGCATTCTAGTGTCTTCAGGCTGTTTCCATGCAGTAAACCCCAGTCCTCTCCCCGGGTTTGTCTGCTGAAACCTGAGTTTCAGCACCCAGCCCCCGTGTGCAGCAGTAGATGCCTGACTTGGGCCGGGGGGTGCAGTGAGGTGGCCAGGACCATCTGCGCTGGTGTCTGTCCTGCCTGCCACAAGCTGACTGCTCTCCTCTCCTCTGAGCCTCTGAAGCTCCCTTTCTGTCCCAGCTGATTTCCTTGCCAGCGAAGGGGCTTCCCAAGGTGAGGGAACCTTTCTTCTTCCACAACTCCCTCCCAGGGGTGCAGGTCCTGTCTCGATTACTTTCTTTTGTCCTACCTGGTTATATGGTGAAATTTCTTGCAGCTTTGGATTATGAGATCTTCTCCCCGCATTCAATAGGTATTCTGTGAGAACTGTTTCACTTGTAGGTGTATTTTTGATGTATTTGTGGGAGGAGGTGAGCTCCATGTCCTTCTATTCCGGCATCTTGATCTACGCTCCCCTTCCCCCCCACATGCATTCTTAGATGAGACAGGAGTGTTTTGAGACAGACACACAGAGGACATGGAAGGGGAAGCACTGTGACCACAGAGGCAGAGATTGAAGTGATGTGGCCACCAGCCAAGGAACACTGACAGCCCCCTGAGGCTGAAAGAGGCAAAGAAAGGAAGGGAGGAGCCTCTGGAGAGAGCGTGGCCCTGCTGACACCTTGATTTCGGACTTGTGGCCTCCAGAACCGTGAGAGAATAACTTTCTGTTGTTTTAAGCCCTGCCCAGCTTGTAATTTATGTCGGCCACAGGACACTAATACACCAGGGAAGGCTAAATGATGCTCAGCGTCCAGCTCCTTAAAGGCTCAGTCCCTGCTATGTTCCTAGCGCCTGCACACAGGAGGTGCTGCCCAAGTTCTCACTGAATGACTGAAAAGAAAGGAAAAGATCTTAGGAAAGATTTATCCCAAACTTAAAAAATCCTGCCTGGGGTAGTGACAGAAAGAAAAACTGACCGCCTCCCAAAGATTCTGAGGGTGAAATCTGATGGCCCCCTCCCCATGTGGCTCACCACGCCCACGTGAACTGCCGTGATGGACTTTGGGGCAGTCGCGTGCAAATGTTGCTTACAGAATGACACTTATAAGCACTTGCGAGGGCCCAGTGCACGCGCTGGCCCAGCTTGAGCAGGGACAATGGGGGCTGCCCGAGCAGTCTGGCTGGAGCGGCAAGGCTGACTGGCACTGCCAGGTCCCTCAGGAGGAGCAGGAGGGGTGCCACCCCTCCCGGTTCTCACAGCAGTACCCGGACTGGGGCAAAGTCAGCTCTGCCCCCTGCTGACCCGTGTGAACCATCATGGCCAGGACTGACAGGCCCCAAGGTCACTGTCTCTGCTATGGTCCCCACCCCCATGGGGCTGTACTGCTTGACCTATGATCCTGTCAACCCCTGGTGCTGACCTGGGGGTGGACTCCCCCAGAGCTGGGGGTGCTCCTGTCTGTGCAGATGCCTCCCAGCCCTGGGGTTTCCTGGGTTCTAATCCCACCTCTTCAGCCTGCAGCAGGCAGAAGGGCCTTGCACAGGTTTCTGCACTATTTGGGGCCTCATTTCCCCTATATGCAACAGTTAGCTTATGGAAAAAAATCCCTAAAGTGCTCTGTAAAAGGCATGTCCTCACGAGGGAAGGGTTTTTTTAAAAAAAATTTTTATTTTTTATTTTTTGCAGTACGCGTGTGAGGGCCTCTCACTGTTGCGGCCTCTCCCGTTGCGGAGCACAGGCTCCGGACATGCAGGCTCAGTGGCCATGGCTCACGGGCCCAGCCACTCCGCAGCACGTGGGATCTTCCCGGACCGGGACACGAACCTGTGTCCCCTGCATCGGCAGGCGGACTCTCAACCGCTGCGCCACCAGGGAAGCCTGAGGGAAGGGTTTTGAGTGACCAGTAGGACCGGGCTGCAGTGGGAGGAGCGTGGAGGGAAAAGGGTCGCATGGCGTTGACCCAGGTCTGCACTGTCTGGTCACTGGCTGCTCTACCTCCTCCCCTTCTTCCTCGTCCAGCTGTTAAGCAGCAAGAGGCACCTGGGCTGGTGGCCAAGGACCATCCAAGGGAGGACCGTTTTCCTGGGACAGACTCACTGAGGGTGAGAAGGAGCTCCAAGAATGGGCATGTTTCACAGATGGGGAGACTGAGGCCAAGGGATGGGTGGGTTAGAGGTTCCAAAGGTGAGCTGGCTCCTGAGGCAGCCCTGGTTCCCCTTGCCCACCTGTCTACCCCTCAAGGCCCATAGCCCCTCTCATGAGCTCAGGGAGGCTGCCTGGAGGCAGAGTCTTTGAAGAGAGAAAGGAGGAAGCAGGGCCTGGGGAGACCTGTCCTGTGGACAGACATGGACATACGCCTCCCTGACTGGACAGCCTGGGCAGAGGGTACAGCCCCCAGGCAAGCTCATGGCCTGGTTCTTCCTTGGCAGAGCTCTGGCCTGAGGCCGGAGCTCAGGTCCCTCTGGAGATCATTTCTGACCCAAGGCTTTGAGGTTAGAGGGGTCTCATCCTGTCCTAGTTTTCAGTGGTGGGAGAGAGTTTTCCAGAACTTTTATGTTTGATTGGAAGAGCAAGTCAAACAGGCATAAACAGACCACCAATTTTTTGTAGATTCCTTTATGTTGAAATAGTTATAAACTATTAACAAATGAATAATGAGAAAACAATTACCTGGTTAACGTATTACTTATTATGTAACAATTAGGTCTGAGACAAAGTCCAATTCAAAACATATTACTGAGGATTCTATATTAGTTGATTTTAGAACTGGCATAATCCAAACCTATTTTTCCATAAATTATTATTTTTTTGGCCACACTGCATGGCTTTTGGGATCTTAGTTCCCCAACCAGGGATCGAACCCTCACCTTTGGTGGTGAAAGTGTGGAGTTCTAACCGCTGGACCGCCAGGGAATTCTCTCAAATAAATTTTCCTATGTAACCTCTAAAGAATTTTTCACTCCCATCATTTGGCTCTGGAAAACTTTTATAGGCAACAACATTTTTACATGAGAAAAAAAAAATTAAGTACAGTTGTTAGGCACAGCTTAAAAGGGGTAATATGCACAAACTATAATAATTACAAATCAATACTTATTCAAACACACATTTGAATTTAAAGCGTTCAAATAATCATTGTTTTAGATACATTTAACATATGCTTCGAGAATCATTTTTAACATCTCTTTTCCTTTCTAACGCACTATGGAAAAAATTCCTTTCTTATTTGTTCAGCAGTAAGAGTCTCAAAAATGTTGTTACAAACCTGGATTCACCTTGTCCTCTTGAGAAACAAGCTGAAGAGGTATTTGGATCTGGTTAAAAATATTATCCTAAGGGAAATATCCACAGAGAGAAGCCCTGTGTCTGTCTATAGGGCTTGGGGCTGGGCTGGGTGGTGGGTCCAGGAAAGTCCACACAACTATGGACAGGGGGTGACTCAGAGGGGCTCTAACCAGAGTTCTAATCATTGGAAGACCGGGGTTGAGAGGGGTGGCAGATCCTGAACGGCCGGAATCATTTTAAACTTGGCCCTACGTGATGGAACTCTTTGAGAAACAAGGATTTTTCTGGATAGTGTTTGTCCTTGAAACAAATGAATCACCTCATTCAGTGTCTCAAAAAAATTCACTGTCTCTTGGTTATAGGCTATCAACAGTTAGACTATCTTAATGAATAGGAAAACTTTAAATTCTCTGTTTCTGGAAATGCTTTAACAAACTGTATCAGACAGCTTATGATAATGTCAATATCATTTATTCATTCAACTGCTTTTTCCCATCTACTTTCTCTTTAGGCAAAATTTGGTTAACGAATTTTTACTACCCATCAGTCATCTGTTTTGGACTCAAACTGTTCATAATTGGCTGTGAAATACAGGTGTGTGTATCGATATATGTGATGTAACTATAAAGTCGCATGTTGAATTGTTACAGGTGGAAATGAGTTCCGCAACTCCAGAGCTATACTGAAGGAGACCTGTTTATACTTACCAACATTCACTCATAAAAATATATATATATATGTGTATATCTATCTATCTATCTATCTCTTTCACTCTGTAGAATCCTTTCTTTCTATCATCTTTTCAGCCAGTCCTGCCAATCAGATAAGAAACACTACAAGATTGGGAGATAAAACCTTTTTAAAACAAGTTTCCTAATAGAAATTAATTTTTAAAAAGTCTACTTTTAAAGCAGCAGTTAGAAACTTTGTTCTTGTAACACATCAGTAATACTGTTACATCAAATTGTGGATTTAAATAAGTTTAGCAGTTTCTTATCTCTTTAAAAAATAATACAGATTTCTGTTATTTAATGGCTTCTCCATTCTTCCAATTCCAAGGAATACAAAGGTCTCCATCCTGCATAACAGAGTAAAAATGTGAAATGCACAGGTGCATCCCTTGTAGATAAGGCAGTGATTGTTCTAGAAGTCTCTTACAACAATCCACCATTTGTATACTTGAAACGCTGGGCTCCTTATAAAACTTTTCCAGAGAAAATTTCTTCGTGGAAGCCTGCATCAATTCATTTTCAATGTCTTTCAACCTGTTATGTTGAAAACAAACATCTGATTGCCACAAGCTATAACCAAATAAAAGAACATAAAATGTAAAAAATATTTTTGTATATTGGGCCATAACTTTCTACTCTCAACACTGAAAATGGTATCCACAAAGGCCAAATTATACGCTCAGAAGACTGTCCATAGGTATCTTGTAGCACCTATTATTACCACATGTATCTCTAAGTATTTGTTCAATCTTTTTACCAGTAATGGGGTAAAGATAACTAATACAATAATTTTTTTGGCTTTTAAAAATTTTTTATTTTATACTTAAGTTTAACTTCTAATTAAAAAATGTTTTTAATTGAAGTATAGTTGATTTACAATGTTGTGCTGGCTTCTGGTGTACAGAGAAGTGATTCAGTTATACACACATATATCTACTCTATGTCAGATTCTTTTCCCTTATAGGTTAACACAAAATATTGAGTATGGTTCCGTGGGCTCTACAGTAGGTCCTTGTTGTCTAATTAATGCATAATTCAAAAGCCTCTTATCCCTCCTCCGGGAGCAGCTGTTGGTGACTGAGAAAAGCAGGAAGCTGAGAGCACCACCGGCAGCTTCAGGAGGCCCTACAGTCCAACCCTGACCCGGGCAGGAGTGACTTCTGGAGATTCCTGAAAAACCCCAGGACCAGAGGCTGGAGGAGGCCGCCCTCCCCACTCTCTCCCCACCAGGGCCCAGGTTCTGTCTTCTGCCCGCCAAGGGTAAGACACAGGCGCTGCAAGTCAGGCAACCTGGAGAAAGTCGGGCAGGGGCTGGAAGGACAGGACCCAGATGTTAGCTTAGAACAGTGGTCTTTAAACGGCTCAGCAAGCCGAGGGTGGTGCAGAGGTGCTCTGAGGCCCCTCGTGGGTATGGACGGCCTCCAGTTCCTTTCCTCTTCAACTGGAGCACCTGCCAACCTTGATCTTTATCAATTGGGTTTCCACTTGAGAATCCACTTTATAAAGAGAGATGCAGCTCAAAGTGTCTGAAAATCACTGTCTCAGAACAGGCTTCATCTAAGGCAAGAAGGCTGCCTAACCAGCACCGAGTGGCTGCGATGCAGGCGGCCAGACTAGGGAGGGACCGCGGCGCAGGGAGAGGAGAGAAGGCGGCGGGGAGGGGAGACTCAGCCGCGCCGGGGCAGACGGCTGCAGGGGGCCCAGGCCAAGGCGGCAGGCGGGACGGGACCAGCAGCAAATGGTTTCTTTACCCTCCGTGTTGGAGGGGACAGGGATGAAGGCTCCGGAGCCCAGAGCCAGAAGGAGGCCAGGGAAGCATGAGCGTCAGTGGATCCAGTTGGTGAGTATTGACTGAAGCCTCCCATGTGCCAGGCCCCGACCCCGCACTGGAGCGAACAAAAGGGACAAAGCCTCTGCCTTCATGAAGCTCACATGCTATGTGGGGCGGGGGCAGACAGTAAATGAACAAGGAAAACAGCGTGTCATAGGGAGATGGGCGGCAGGTGGGAAGGGATGAGGGGAAGCTGCTGGGTGGCAGGGGAGCTGAGACCTGAGGCTGGGAAGGGGCTGAGCCTGAAGCCATGGGGGAGAAAGGCTCCAGGCAGGGGCAGAGCACGTGTCTTTGAGGAGGTTAGAAGCTCCTCTGGCAGGAGCAGCAGGGGTGAGGGCAGTGTCTTAGGAGGCGAGTTCAGGAGGCCGACGGCAGGGCCTCGCGGGCAGGAGCACATCCGGGCTCTCAAAGGACCACTCGCTCCGGCTGCTCGGCTGAGAATCCACTGGGCGGGGGCGTGCATGCGGGGGCGTGGACACGGGACAGGGCATCACAGGATGGTGGAGGCTGAGACCCGGGCTCAGCGGGAAGGGACACGAGATGGGCGCGGTTCTGGAGAGACGGAGAACGTGGAGCTGAGAGGTCTGCCGGCCCGGATGTGGGGAATGAGGAAGCAGGACAGGAATCAAGATGAATCACGGGGTTGGATTTACCTCAGCATCTGGCGGATGAAATGCTCAAAAACTAAAATATTTGATTTTTATTTCTTTTTATTTTCCTTCCTTAAAAATCTACTGGCACTATTTCAAAGCTATAGAACGCCCAGTGCGAAAACAGAAAAAGCAGCAGATACGATGTAGCAAGATCATCAGGCCTCATAATGGAAGGTAGGTGAGACTTACAATTAATTAATTAATTTCTGGTTTATCCTTCAGTGCTTATTTTTTTAAAGATTTTATTGGGGGTATAGTTGATTTACAACATTTAGTTTCAGGTGTAAAGCAAAGTGATTCAGTCATACATACACATATATTCTTTTCTCATATAGATTATCACATTCAGTAGAGGTCCCAGTACTATACACTAGGTACTTGTTGTTTTTCTATCTTACATGTAGTAGTGTGTGTATGTTAATCCCAAGTTCCTGATTTATTCCTACCCCCCCCCGTGTTTCCCCTTGAGTAACCATAACTTTGTTTTTGAAGTCTTAAGTCTGTTTCTGTTGTGTAAGTTCATTTGCATCATTTAAAAAAATTAATTCCAAATATGAGTGATAATCGTATTTATCTTTCTCTGTCTGACTCACTTCACTGAGTGTGATCATCTCTAGGTCCATCCATGTTGCTGCAAATGGCATTATTTCGTTCTTTATTATGGCTGAATAATATTCCACTGTATATATGGACCACATCTTCTTTATCCACTCCTCTGCGGATGGACATTTAGGAGGCTTCCATGTCTTGGTTATAGTAAGTACTGCTGCAATGAACACTGGGGTGCATGTGTCTTTTCAAATTATGGTTTTCTCCAGATATGCCCAGGAGTGGGATTGTCAGATCATATGGTAGTTCTATTCTTAATTTTTAAAGAAACCTCCATAATGTTCTCCATAGTAGCTGTTACCAGTTTCCATTCCCACCAGCAGCTTAGGAGAGTTCCCTTTTCTCTGCACCCTCTCCAGCTACTATAGTTTGTAGACTTTTGGGTAATGGCCATTGTGACTGGTGCAAGGTGAGACCTTGTTGCAGTTTTGATTTGCGTTTCTCTAATTATTAGGGATGTTGAGCATCTTGTCATGTTTTTTTTTTTTTTAAACAGTGTGAATAATGTTACCTCTTGAAATTGGCTTCTTGAAATACTGCACTGATTTGAATTCTTTTTCAATTACTTATCCCAGGACATTTCTTGAGGACAGGTGTTATTTATTTACAGCCCTGCAGGCCTTGTGAATATTAAGACCTGGGCAGGTGTCACATCCCTAGAGCCTGAGCAGGCTTGGTTTCCAAGGCTGGACTGTCCTGGGGCTGAGGGAGCTGGGGAGGATATGCCAGCAAATGACCCCCTCCTTGGCCCTCTAGTGCCTGGTCCCCTCTGGATGGGACCACAACTTCCAGATCCAGGTGGGCCCTCCTACAGCTAAACCAAGCCTACTGCACCCAAAGGATGGTGGACGCTCTGGGCTGGAAGAATTTGAAAAGTCACCTGGTCTCCACGTCTCCTAGTGGTGGGGCTCCCACCTCCAGCTCCGTCCGTACAGTTGCCCCGCCTCTGGACGACAGCACACTCAGCAGAGCGGTTTTGCAGGGGTTGGGTATTGTCTGGTGGTGAAGGGTAAGGGGGAAGGAGCAGTGAGACAAAAGCCCTTGGGTGTTTGTTCTAATTTACAACCCAGAAACAAGAGTTTCCCTAAGGTTCTGGGTGCCCAAGGCAGCAGAGCTGGCATGAAGAAATCCTGCCGCCTTGTGGCCATTTCCCAGAAAAACAAGTTAAAAACCAGTGCTGATGGGCACTTGACACAAGGCCTGGGGGGGCTGTAAATGACACCTGCCCTCAAGAAATGTCCTGGGGTTGGTAATCGCAAAAGAATTCAAACAGGGCAGACTTTCAAGAAGCCAATTTCAAGAGGTAAATTTTACACTGTTGAAAAAAAAGGCACATGAAAAGATGCTCAACATCGGTAACTTTTTAAAAAAATTTTTTATTTTAATTTTTTAACATATTTATTGGAGTATAATTGCTGTACAATATTGTGTTAGTCTCTGATGTATAACAAAGTGCATCAGCTATATGTATACATATATCCCCTTATCCCCTCCCTCTTGTGTCTCCCTCCCACCCTCCCTATCCCGCCCCTCTAGGTCATTGCAAAGCACCGAGCTGACCTCCCTGTGCTATGCTGATCTCCCTGTGCTATGCGGCTGCTTCCCACTAGCTAGCTGTTTTACATTTGGTAGTGTATTTATGTCAATGCCACTCTCTCAGTCCGTCCCGGCTTACCCTTCCCCCTCCTGTGTACTCAAGTCCATTCTCTACCTCTGCATCTTTATTCCTGTCCTGCCCCTAGGTTCTTCAGAACCACTTTTTGTTTTTTAGATCCCATATATATATGTTAGCATATGGTATTTGTTTTTCTCTTTCTGACTTACTTCACTCTGTATGACAGACTGTAGGTCCATCCACCTCACTACAAATAACTCAATTTCGGTATTTTATGGCTGAGTAATATTCCATTGTATATATGTGCTACATCTTCTTTATGCATTCATCTGTCGAACATTGCTAATTATTAGAAAGATGCAAAGCAAAACTACCGTGAGGTACCACCTCGCACCAGTTGGAATGGCCATCATCAAAACATTTACAAACAATAAATGCTGGAGAGGCCATGGAGAAAAGGGAACTCTCCTATGTCACTGGTAGGAATGGACATCAGTAACAGCCACTATGGAGAAAAGTATGAAGGTTCCTTAAAAAAACTAACACTAGAGCTATTATAATATGATCCGGCAACCCCACTGCTGGGGTATATATCTGCAGAAAACCATAATTCGAAAAGCCACATACACCCCAACATTCACTGCAACACTATTTACAATAGCCAAGACATGGAAGCAACCTAAATGTCCATAGACAGAGGAATGGACAAAGAAGATGTGGTACATACATAGAATGGAATATTACTCATCCATTAAAAAGAACAAAATAGGGCTTCACTGGTGGCACAGTGGTTGAGGGTCCACCTGCTGATGCAGGGAACACGGGTTCGTGCCCCGGTCTGGGAAGATCCCAGATGCTGCGGAGTGGCTGGGCCCGTGAGCCACGGCCGCTGAGCCTGCGCGTCTGGAGCCTGTGCTCCGCAACGGGAGAGGCCACAACAGTGAGAGGCCCGTGTACCGCAAAAAAAAAAAAGAACAAAATAATGCCATTTGCAGAAACATGGATCAACCTAGAGATGATCATACTAAGGGAAGGAAGGAAGTCAGAGAAAGATAAATATGATATCACTTACATGTGGAATCTAAAAAAAACAGTGATTCAAATGAACTTATTAACAACACAGAAACAGACTCATAGAGTTCGAAAACAAACTTATGGTTAGAAAAGGTAACGACACAAACACAAATGCTCACCAACCAATCAAGAAGCAGGCTATTTGTTCAATAGGATCTGGCCAGGAACTGTCACCAATTCCACAAGTGAAACAGATATGTGACTCCTTCACTTATTTGATGCATAAAATGACCCCATCATCTCCTGGGACACGGATGATGTCCACAGCCCTCCTGCATGGCCACCCTTTCTGTGTTTCACGTCCTTGGCTTTTTAAACAAGGAATTTGTGTAGATCGAGGAGAGAACGGGCACCAAGGCCAGAGAAGTAAGTAACCAGAGGGGGGCCCCAGCAGCACACTCGGACAATCACCCCGGTCCTCCACCCATCAGGCTCCTGCCCCCGCCCTCCTTACCCTCCTCCCCGGACACATCAGCCTCGGCCTCCTCGGCCACAGCCTCTGCTTCCTGTTCCCTTCCCAGAGCATCAGCCTTGGCTCCTCTCACGCATGACCCCTGTCCGTCCACCACCCCTGACACTGAGGGCGCCTGCGTCTCCTGCAAGCCTGGGGACCAGGCCTTCATCTTTCTACCAGTGGCGCCTTGCACAGCTTCCGATCCACAACGGTCACAGCAAATGACGGCTGCATGAATGAATGAATCCTTGCTAGCCAAACCTCCTTAGGCCACATCTTTAGGAAAACCACCCAGTTTTGAATATAATACTCTCCCTTTCTTCATAGTAGATCCATGAAACATCATCAACACTATCTTACTGCCTACAAAACTACTGACTATAACAGGATTCCTTTAAAGATACAAATGGCATAGAGACAGCACTGCTTTATGAACCAAAAAACCTTTTACACTTTAAGATTTCTTCTCAATTTAATGACAGTGCAGACAAGGCTTGTTTCCTTTCAGCAGATTTCAAAATTTTAAACAGTGAAGATTCCAATTAATCAAGTAGTAACTGAGTTTCCCCCCTTGTTGCCACCCTTTTCCATCTGCACAGTTTCTTTCTGATACTCTTTTATCTTTCACTCTGCTCCTGAGTTGACTTTTATATTAACAAGCCCTGCTTCTCAAATTGAGGTACGTGGTGGGAATGCAACTGAGGTTACTATACTGAGAAAACAGCCACATCCAATCCCTGGCACAACCGGTGGGGGGGGGGGAATCAATGTTACTCCTACGTGACATACAGTTTAATACAGTCGATTTCCTAAGTTCAATACAGTTTTAATTTCCCATACTTATGAGTTCTGACTACCTGAATATTTTTAACGATTAGACGGAATGGTAAGACAGGAAGAGGGCTAAGAGCACTCACTCTTCTTTTCTTTTCATGTTCTCTCTTGCCTGTTGGGCTTTGGTGAGAATAAACCACTGGAGGTTTGCTGGATCGCAGAGGATAGGAATGTTAAAATGCCCAAGTTCGTGCAAACTTGGAGCATATCTGTCACTGTAATAAAGCATACGTAAAAGGAAAAAAATCAGCAACCTCTCCACCCCCATAGAAACGATTTTCTTAGTCTGATTAATGGAAAGGAACTCATCAAGAAAATCCACATAAAAGTTACAGTAAGTCCCCTACATATGAACGAGTTCCGTTCCGAGAGTGCGTTCCTAAGTCCAATTTGTTCGTAAGTCCAACAAGTTAGCCTAGGTACCCAACTAACACAATTGGCTATATAGCACTGTACTGTAGTAGGTTTATAATACTTTTCACAAAATTATACATAAAAACAAACACTTGAAATAAAGATACTGTACTACCGTACTCTCTACAGTACTGTACGGTGAAGTACACAAAAGCACAACCACTTGTAGACGATGCACGCATGTGACAATGTACAGCAGACACATGAACTAACTTATGAGATTGGACAGGTGAACGCACATTTGCATCTTTGAAAGTTTGCAACTTGAAGGTTCATATGTAGTGGACTTCCTGTATAGCAGAATTGATTTGGAGTTTTGCTCTCCCCAAAGAGACACACTATCAGGATGACCACACCCTTCCTGGCCCTGTGACCTTCCTCACCTGTAAGATGGGGGTAGTAACCCACTCCATGGTGAGGTTATGAGAGCTAAAGAGATAATGCATTTAAGTACCAAGCACGGTGCCTGATATGCACACTGTTGATTTCACATTAGTATAACCCTATAAAGTTTTCCACAGGACCGATTTGCCCTGTAAGTGGCAATATATTTACAGAATGTTCTAGAGACTCAATCTTTCAATCCTCTCATGTTGGCTTTTCTCATGTGTAAAAGAGTGCTGCCAACAGAGGTGGTGACATTCCTTTCTTTAATTCCTAAGAATCACACATGGAAATACAAAACAATTTCATGCATAGACACACACAGCCCATCTGAGTGAATGAATAAAAGTAATTGTTTTAGATACTTGCCTGTTAAGGATCATTTGCAAACCACGCAAACTTCGAGGGTGAAAAGGTATTCGGCTTTTCAAGAGTCTATTATAGAACACGTCGAGAAGAGAGTAATATTCTTCAAGTGTCAACACTGGCTGTAATTCTTCGATATAAACAACTTGGATGCCACCTAGAAGATAGCTTATTTGGTCCTCCAGAAGCATCAGCCTCCTCTGCAGGTCAAAATAACTCGGTAATCTTTCAAAAAGCTACAGTATTTTTTTTTTTTTTGAAAAAAAGGGAAGGAATATTTAGTTTTATGGTACTTTAACAGTCCAAGTTCAGGACTCCAATAAATGGTACTGAGAAATTCTAACAAGAAAATTATAAATTATTTTACTAGAAGGAAAGTTCAAGTAAGCAATAAAAAAAAAAGCTATGGAATGCTGGAAATATTAATATTCAAAACAAACCACTGTAAATCTTAGGAACTTTTAGGTAGGAATTGAAGAGATCGCAGAAGAAAAGAAATATGTTCCAAATAAAAATAAGTGTTAAGTACTAACATTTAAATATTCAGGTAAGAATCTCAAATTAGGTTAGAAAGATTAAATGGTATAATAAAGAAGGGTTTTAGAAATAAAGTCTACATATTTCAATTCCAAGTCTATTCTTTCAGAATTTCTATTTTATTAGAAAGTCTGTTCCTTCAGAATTTCCCTTAATTCAACTAAATTCAATTATGGAGCACCTACCATGTACTTAAGTACTAAACTGGGTCCTTGGAATATAGAGATTATAAGAATTTGTGTCCCTGTTTGCCAGGGCTCATGGTCAGGGTGCAGGGAAACAAAACAAGAATCAGAATTCAGCATACCAAGTGCCACATCAGGGTGAAGGGACTGGTGGGTCAAGCAAAGGTTTCTAAAGACGTCTAATGTAATCAATATGAAAAGATAAAGAGGATTTAGAGAAGGTTAGACGCATTGCTAATTATTAAAGAAATGCAAGTCCAAACTACAATGAGGTACCACCTCACATTGGTCATAATGGCCATCATCTAAAAGTCTACAAATACCAAATGCTGCAGAGCATGTGGAGAAAAGGGAACCCTCTTACACTGTTGGTGGGAATGTAAGTTGCTGCAGCCACTATGGAGAACAGAATGGCGGTTCCTTAACTAAAAGTAGAGTTGCTATATGATCCAGCAATCCTACTCCTGGGCATATATCCAGACAAAACTATAATTTGAAAAGATATATGCACCCCAATATTCATAGCGGCACTATTCGCAATAGCCAAGACATGGAAACAACCTAAATGTCTATTGACGGACGGATAAAGAAGATGTGGTCCATATATACAATGGAATATTACTCAGCCATAGAAAAGAATGAAACAGTGCCATCTGCAGCAACATGGATGAACCTAGAGATGACCAAACTAAGCAAAGTAAGTCAGAGAAAGACAAATACCATATGATATCACATATATGTGGAATCTAAAATATGACAGAAATGAACTTATCTACAAAGCAGAAACAGACTCACAGACATAGAAAACAAACTTATGGTTACCAAAGGGGGAAGGAGGTGGAGGAGGAATAAATTAGGAGTTTGGGATTAGCAAATACAAACTACTATATATAAAATAGATATACAAGGTCCTCTTGTATAGCACAGGGAACTATATTCAATATCCTGTAATAAACCATAATGGAAAAGAATATAAAAAAGAATATATATATGTATGTATAACTGAATTACTTTGCTGTATACCAGAAATTAATACAACATTGTAAATCAACTATATTTCAATTAAAAAAAAAGGAATAGAGAAGGTTAGCTGCATGTGGGAAAGTTTCAGGGGAAGAAAAAAGCATGTGCAAACCTGGACGCACCAATAGGGACAAAGCAGGTTCAAAAACAAGGGGTTTGGTGTGGCTGGAGGGTGGCACACGTGGCCTAAGTGGAAGGAGGCGAGGCTGAAGAGGCAGGTGGCGCTGGGTCGGGGAAGGACCTGTGTCCTACATTACGGACTCAGATTTTATACAGAAAGTTGCAGTTATATTAGAGGAGTTGAAAGGCATCAAAAACTCTGCTATAATAAAAGCAATAGCAGTATAAAAATTCTACAAAGTATTTATAATATACTTCTAACACTTTTTGAAAAACAATTTTACTACCTACTTTTCAATTTTTCTCTCAACGAGTTATTCACGTGTAAATGGTAGCTACGTTTTAAACACCTTTAATTTTGAGATAACTTTAGATTCACACGTCTTTCACCCAGTTTCTCCAATGGTGACATCTTGTAAAACTATATACAATCACAACCAGGAAACGGACATGGCGACAGTCCACTAACCTTGTTCAGATTTCATCAGTCTTACTTGCACTCGTGTGTATTTAATCATATGCAGATTTATCACACATAGAGATTCATGTGACATGACCACAGTCAAGACATAGAAGAGTTCCATCACAAGGATCCCCTCTGCTGCACTTCCATAGCCACAGACACCTCTGCTCTCCCACCCCCTGACCCCTGCAACCACTAATCTGTTCCTTCTATAATTTTATTATTTGAAGAATGTTATATAAATGGAATCATACAGCATGTATTCTTGTGAGATTGACTTTTTTCACTTTGTACAATGCCCTTGAGAGCCACCCAAGCTGTTGCCTGTATCAGCAGTTCATTCCTTCTTAGTAACACCGAGTGGAGTTCTGTTGCATCGATGTGCCAAGGTTTGTGTCACCATTCAAACACTGGAGGGTATCAGGGTTCCTCCTAGTTTTTTGCTATTACGAACATTTGTGTACAGTTTTGTTTCTCTAGTATAAATGCCCAAGAGGGCAGCTGCCAAACCACATGATAAACACGTGTTTACTATTATAAGAAACTGCCAGACTCTGCCAGAGTGCCTGTGCCATCTTACACTCTCAACAGGAATGCATGAGTGATCCAGTTTTTCTGCATCCTCGCCACCATTTGGTGGTATCGTTATTTTTCAGTTTAGCCATTCTGACAGGTGTGCAGTGACATCTCATTGCATTTCCCTATGGTTTTTCATGTGCTTATTCGTCATCTGTATGTCCTTTTCTGTGACATATCTATTCATGTTCTTTGCCCATTTTCTAATTGTTTATTTTTTTACTGTTGAGCTTTGAGAGTCCTTTCTATATTTAGATACAAAGACTTTGTCAGGTAGGTGGTTTGCAAATATTTTCTACCAGATATTTGATTTCAACAGATATTTCACCAAAGAAGATATACGGATGGCACAAAAGAGCACATGAAAAGATGCTCACCACCATTCATCATTAGAGAAATGCACATTAAACCCACAATGAGATAGAACCACACACCTCTTAGAATGGCTAAAATTAAAAAGATGACCATAGGAAGTGTTGGCAGTTTCTTTTTTTTTTTTTTTTTTTTTGCGGTACGCAGGCCTCTCACTGTTGTGGCCTCTCCCGTTGCGGAGCACAGGCTCCAGATGCGCAGGCTCAGCGGCCATGGCTCACGGGCCCAGCTGCTCCATGGCATGTGGGATCTTCCTGGACTGGGGCACGAACCCGTGTCCCCTGCATCGGCAGGCGGACTCTCAACCACTGCGCCACCAGGGAAGCCCAAGTGTTGGCAGTTTCTTAAAAAGTTAAAATACCCTAACATATCTGGCCATTCCACTTTTAGGTATTTACCCAAGAGAAAAGGAAATATATGTCCATATAAAGTTTGTAGATAAATGTTCATAGCAGCTTTACTTCTAGTAGCCAAAAGCTGACATAACCCAACATCCATCCATAAGTGAATGGATAAACAAACTGGTATATCCATATGATGGAATACTACGTGGAAATAAAAAGGAATAAATATACACAATAGCATGGATGAATCTCAAATTATGCCAAATGAAAGAAATCAGATCCTAACCCCAACATACTCTGACTCCACTTATATAAAACTCTAGAAATATAAACTAATCTATAGTGACAGAAAGCAGACCAGTGGTTGCTTGGGTAGGGGGTGGTGGATGGAAGAGAGGGTTTACAAGGGACATGAGCATTCTTTTGTGGGTGATGGATGTGTTCACTATCCTGATTATGGTAATGGTTTCATGGGTATTTACATGTCACATCTCATCAAATTATACCCACTAAATATGTACAGTTTATTGTAAGTTAATTATACCACAGTAGATCTGCTAAAAACAAAACAAACAAAACAACAGAATGAAGGCCTTTAGGCTATGCTTCAGAAAAGACTATAAAATTTCCAAATAAAAACGGACTTAAAAATTAGTCTTCTAACAATTTAAACTACAAAATATTAAGCATCTGATCCGCAAACAGATGATTCAAATTTTTTTAGTTTACTGACATGTTAGCATAGTTTGAAACAAAGTATGTCGATGACAAATTAGAGATTATTTTTGCTTTTAAGCTTTTTCTTACTTTTGTCCAGTGATGATGGACATCCATTGTTCCCAGCATCACGTGGCCCACTGCACTCATCCCGGACCGGTCTGTAAATATTATTGTACATCCTGATGATAAAACACAAACCTTTGGTCACTGTCCAGAGAGGCTTCATTCTTTCAGCACTGTGCAAATAATTATGTAAATTTCATGTATCAACTCAGGATTAAATTCGGTAGAAGCTTAAAGCCTAATTTTATGTCACTGTTTAAGTCAAAGGAACAGATTTTAAAATTCAGCTGATATAAAGTCACATCTATCAATACAAAGACTTTTAACACTTAGCTTTCCTCTAGAATTTACAGACGTGTATAGCCGTTAAGGGATATGGATTTCGGAAGTGAATGGAAATTGTTTACCTTTTGCATTTTTAAGGCTTTCCAAGTTCTGCTGGGCTAAGCGGCCTAAACTGTGCAGCTGGCTGCAGCGGTGGGCGATGCCCCAGCTCCTCTGCCACCTGGTCCAACAGAGCACATGGCCCATTAACACCCGTGTCCCCCCAGAGGTTGCTTTCTCAAGGAGACACACAACATGTTTCCAAACTAACTCATTTTTCAAGAAGCAGCCAAATGGGAAATGACTCGTTTACCAGAGGGTAAAAATCTTAGCACTATATTCAGCTATCCAAAGACTTAAAACAAGCAAATACACTGTGTTGTTTCTCTTAAAATAAGAGGATGAAATGGGGAAAACTTTGACAAAGATCCTTTTCTTCTTTACCTTGTTTAATGACAACGATGTTGTCTTAGATTTAAGTTCCAACTAGGAATTCCAGTTTGGTTTATCAGAATTTTTTTTATCGTATTCTAGAGAAAATGATTCTTACGACATCGTGTAATCTGCTCATTTTATAGATGAACATTATTACATCTCAGTGACAAAATGGAACTTGATATCCACATGATGTCAGAGAGGCACTTCTGTGTATGTGTAAAGAGCACCGGTATTAAGTGGTATCAGAAAACCAATCTTCGAATTCTAATTCTGTGATTTACTAGCTCTGTGACCTTCAACAAACTGCCTCTAGTCTTCCTAAGGTTTCTCTTCATGCTTGCCCAGTGGGGACACTTCTTACAGCACAGGTAGTGCAAATCATAGGGGATGAACATGTGAAGGAATAAGGCGCTCAACAGGCTTTCAGAAAACTTAGGTTCCTTCTTCATGCTAACACCAGTCCTGATGAATGTCATTTCTGATAAAGTGAAATTGGCTTCCAAAATTATTCCTTTAACACACAATGTCATCAGTCACAATGCTTCCTTTCGTTGGAGACTTGGTTAATTTCCCAGTAAGCCGAGACACTCACGTCCACAGTCCTCAAATGTTTTGGTCTCGGGACCCCTTTGCACTCCTAAAAACTGAGAACCTCGAAGAGCTTTTGTTTATATGGGTTATAGCTATTGATATTTACCATAGCTGAGAAATTTCTCCACTATATTGTAAAATAATGTTTATTTCTCTTTATGTTTAAGAAATCCTTTCATTTTCCTGATCCATTCTGCCTTCTCACATCTCTTAAAATTTATTTAGAAAAAGTTATTTTCATGCATATTAATTTGTTTTTTTATATACCTTTAAGAAGGATCTTATTATTTTGTTTTTAGTTAGTGAAGTCTATGTTACTAGATTATGGAATTGGAAGGGCCCCCTGTAGTCAAAGCTTGGATGTGATGAAAAGACAGCAGCTATCAGCACAAACCCAAACATCCCACACAGTCCAAAGTGTAAACACTTTCCTCTGAAATTTGAATTATCTTGGACAACTGTGATTTGAATACATAAGAATAGAACATATAAGTACTATCTATATTCTGCAAGCCCAGGAAGAAGATGCTGTTCTTTTTCGTTCAATTTAAGTAAAAAGTCCTGATAATGATGGCTGAAAACAACAAAACAGGCTACAGCAAACAGTAACAGAAGTTTAAGCTCCAGACCAGATCACAATATCTCAGGGTTCTTGTAATGCAGAGTCCCATGACTGAATCACACCACCCTCTCCTTCGGGTTGTAACAGCTGTTAAATCTATTTTTATAATAGATAGAGATTCAGCATGTATCTTTACACAACTGTGATTTCTAAGTTTATGAAAACATTTACAAAGTCATGTTATAGTGACTACAGGTAATAATACTGTATTGCATTTTGAAAGCTGCTTAAAGAGTAGATCTTAAAAGTTCTCATCACAAGAAAAAAATTGTTTTGTAACTATGTATGGTGACAGATGTCAGCTAGACTTATTGTGGTGGTCATTTTGCAATGTATACAAATAATGAATTATCATGTAAAACACTTGGAACTAATATGATGTTATGTCAATTATACCTCAATTTAAAAAAAAAAAAAGAGAAAAAAAGTCATGCTATATAACATAGAATAAAAGAATACAACATTTACTTTTTATCTCCCTTCCTCTTTTTAAACTTAAGTACCAGTCTTACATGATTGGGAAATAATTATTTTTTATACATTATGGGCATAGGAAAAGTATATTTTTCACAAGCCCATTATGTTAAAAGAAAAAACTATTATGCTAAAAATATGAGTATCTAAACTTTACTTCACTATTTTAAACAAGAAATTCATGCTGATTTTCTTACATAAACATTTGATTACTTTCATAAAAAGATAACTGAATATTTAGTGAACACAATAATTAAAGATGCAAATATTTAACTGTTAGAAACCTTTACCAAAAGGTAATACATGTTTATTTTAATCTCTAAATTAGGTTTTCTCTTCTTCATTACCTGATGTCCGAGAGCTGCAATTGATGGGACAGTTCATCTTTTAAACGATCTAGTTCTTTTCTAAGTGGCAAACTATTCTTCAGCTTTTTAACAGCACTTTTCCCATTGTTATCTAACCAGGATCTAGAAAGAAAAAAAACCGAGATATACACCTTGCAATACTAACTATAATGCAAACATTTCTACTATCGAACGACGTGTTCATTGACTTAAAGCAGCCCCAGTGTTAAACCGAGTTTGCCATCAAACGTTTACCATCAAACGTTTGCCATCAAACGTTTGCCATCAAACGTTTACCAAATTATAAGTACTGTTGTGAAGTCTATTCATTTAGAGTAAATACTTCTAAAATACGTTTCTTGGAAAACTGCCAGCATCTGTTAAATCATATTCTACTTATGACAACTTCCTTTGTCTATCAAAAAAATTCAATTTAAATTACACCAAGCCTGTTGCTAGATTTCCAAAGATGGGATGATTTTTTTTGCTGTACGCGGGCCTGTCACTGCTGTGGCCTCTCCCGTTGCGGAGCACAGGCTCCGACGCACAGGCTCAGCGGCCACGGCTCACGGGCCCAGCCGCTCCGCGGCATGTGGGATCTTCCCGGACCGGGGCACGAACCCGTGTCCCCTGCATCGGCAGGCGGACTCTGAACCACTACGGCACCAGGGAATCCCCAAAGATGGGATGATTTTTAAAGAATTAAAGATACTTCAAACCTCACTTATGTTTATTGCACTCTTAGGCAGGCTATACTAGACCGTCACTTACATCAGTCATCTACAGGTGACCCTTTTCCTACTGGAGCAAATGAGCAGATGATGTTCTAGTGCAGCCAGACGGTGAAAAAGTCAATTCAGAAGACGCACCTAATGGTACTGGTGACATTCAAAAGGCAGTATTTCCTGATGAAGGGACTTGCGAAGGGAACTTTGTGGATTTTAACTGGGTAGATCCAGTCTCTTCCTTTGTTTTCGTCTTGGTTGTTAGCACCCTGAGCCTCCCTGCTCACCCCCTCAGCGCTCTGTCCAAGTGCTCCCACTGGTCAGACCTCACCAGTCTCGGTGTCTCCATCCACATGCTCCTGTCGGGTGGGTCTGTTTGCCCCTCGGTTCCTTTCCACCCAACCAAATGCCCAGCTCTAGTCTCACCTCTCTCCACCTTTATTTTTTTCCCCCGTCAACTACATCATAGGCTCAGCAGAAAGATGTTCTTTTAATTCTGCATATCTTAGAACGTTTACCTCAATGAAGTCTTAAAAGAGAAAATAGACATCAAATTTGGCGTAAGGATTAGAAGGGGAGAGCTTTCAGAAAAGAGCTGAGGGCAGCCTGGGTGGCCTCGTACCGAGCAGCATGGCCCCTTGGGAGGTTATCACTTCCTCTGTGTTATAATGGTCATGGCACAAGGGATGCTGGCTGTCGCTCAGAGCCTCTAGTCTCCTAGGGGAGTCTGGACAAACGAGAGGCCTGGGTGGTGCGTAGGAGGCTGAATGGCTGCTGCAGGAGTAGGCAGGGCAGAATGGCAAGGTGACTCAGGGATCAGAGGAACATTTTGGGTCCAAGATGGTAGTGGTGGAGTGGGCCCTGGGCACAGCCGTGCAAGAGAAAGCTCCAGGGGGTTAGGGGAAAAATGGTCTAAGGCACCCCATCCCCAGGCCACCTGACACCCCCTGTGGGACGCCTGTCAGTGACTGATGGTCAGGTGTTAGGATAACTCTGCAGAAGGGCTCATATGTCCATCTCAAAAGTGCTTTTGCCAAATAAACCTTTTTAAGGTTCCTTACTTATTAAGTCACTTTAAAGGTTTGAGATGTTGTGATCTAAAACATTTAAAAAATTATCAAGTTAGGGGAATTCCCTGGTGGTCCATTGATTAGGACTCCCGCTTCCACTGCAGGGGACACTGGGTCCTATCCCTGGTCGGGGAACAACCATCCTGCACACTGCACAGCGCGGCCGCAAAATAATAGGAATCAAATTGAAACTTTCAGAACCAATCAAACCATTATGCATGCATCAGATATTTATCCTGAAAGCCTAACAGTGTGTTGTGCTAGGAATATAAGGAAGATACATCTAGTAAGGAATAGAGAGAGAAGCAACTGGAAGAGAATATATGAGCTTCTAGGAGAACAGAGGAAGAATTAACTAATTCTGCCTGGAAGGTTCTATAGAGCAGGTGATATGTGACCTGAACCTGAGAGATGGACCAGATTTTTCCAGGCAGATTACTGAAAGGGAAGGGCATGCCAACCACGCCAGTGCACAGGGAAGTATAAGATGAACCAACGTGCCCAGATCACATGATGCCTAGAGGGAGGGTGGTGTGAGATGAGACTGGAGAGGCATATATGTGTGTGTGTGTGAGATTATAAAAGGTCTTGCACGTTGGGCTAAGGAACTGGGATCTTTTCCTCTAACTAAAGATGTTCCACTTTTTTTTTTTTGGCCATGCGGAGGAGCTTGCAGGGATCTTAGTTCTGGAACAGGGATTGAACCTGTGCCCCCTGCAGTGGAAGCTCGGAGCCCTAACCACTGGACCACCAGGGAATTCCCTATATTCCACATTTTTTTGACTCACTAAATGTGTGCAGTCATTGATAATTCTTCCTACTCCCCCTTTAAGAATACTGGTAGTGATTTTATTTCTGCTTTCTGTGTGTGAAATAAGAAAATAATATCTTACTTTATATCACGATTATTAGCTATTACAATTTTCCAACCTTTTCGTCATTTATTAAGTCATACATGTTAATCAATTTACTTTAAATTATGTAATAGAAAGGATGATTTTTTGACAAATGAATTACCAAATGGCATACTATGTTGGGTTTGGGGACCAAATGTCTTAAACTGTAGAATGAAATATAATCTTACGATTATATATTCATGACCTGATTGTTGGAATTCTTACATTTAGTGTATAAAATTTAACTGATCTAGTTTAACAATTTTTGTGTTTTGTGTCTAAACACTGAGATAAAAATGAAGGTTCTACACATGGCATTTTCTTTCTACCTACCTATCTATCTATCGATCGATGTAGATATTAGATCTATCTATAGATATAAAGACAAAGATACATGTATCCTAGCTCTGGCCACTGAGAAGTTCAGTAGCAATTGAGACATGCATCACCCAGATCTTGGTTTCTAAAAATCATCCCCTCCTAAAAAGAACCAGAGCTTCTCGGCAAAATGGTTCAATCAAACACTGGGCCAGGGAAAGTCCAGATGAGCCTGGAACACCTTGGTGAACCAGGAAGTAAGAGAGTTCTCAAAGAATGATGGGGACATAGGAGCCAGCTTGAAGGGATGATAAGGTTAGAAAATTGCCATTTGGCAACCATCATCATAATATGTGATTCAGGCAAAAATCATCAATGAGCACTAGAGCTAAGGGGTAAAAATTCAGTGTTAAAAGGATATTTACATAGCCCTAAGTATCTGCTCAAAAGAAACTAACTGAAGGGAAAAATAGCTCCTTTACTGGGGAAAAAACTGGGAGACACCACCTTAATCAAATGATCCAAGTTAATATCACTAGTAATGGGATAATCAACATCATATGCCTCCTATATAACATTGAAAACAACACACTTCACTTTCCAGGCTGCCAAATATGAATAACCTGACTCTAATTATGAGAAATACCAAATAAACTCAAAAGACTCAAATTGAGGGACATTCTACAAAATAACAGCAAGGTAATGGAAGACAAGAAAACACTGAGGAACCATTCCCGATTAAAGGAGGTTACAGAGACTAAAGTTATGACTTATAATTAGAAAAACAATGACTTAGCCTATAAATAAGAAGACTGAATAAGTGTATGATATGAGTTAATGCATGATTATAGCATTTCCAAATATCCTGCAGAAATAATTCCAATATTGTAATTGTCCAATGTGGCATTTTGTGGACACTAAGATGATTCAGAGCTTAGACAATGAAAGTGAAATAAAACTTTGTGTGCAAACTTCAAATAGAAAAAATGGAAGTCTGACATTTACTAATATCTCAGTAGTTAACAGAATAGCATTTCAATGGTCTTTCTATAGTCCAATGACATGTTTTTTTCAGTGGGATAGACATTACATATGGGATAATTCTGTTTAGATACAAATGGATCCTGTTGTCTCCTTGCAAACACAAATTCTACAAATGCAATACATTTTAGTTATAAAATTATTTGATAATCAGACAATATATGCAAAATATGGAAATACTAAAAGCTACAACACAAAGTAGCATTTTCTAATTTTTTTTAGGCTGGCATATTCTTTTTATTATAGTATATAATTAGAAAACCTTACATATTAAACATTTCATTATAGTGTTTTTATCACTATAAAGTGATTTTACAGTAAGATAAAGCACAATTTGCTGAGAAATTCAGAATTACACAGCATGTCCTAAAATGTACATTGAAATGTAACTGCCAGATATAAGAAGAAAATAGATTAAATGGAGCTTTTATGACCTGATAATTCTTCTATGTTGTGTTTTTAAAAATTCAACTAATTTATTTTCATAATTTCTGTGTTTTATTTCAGCCTGCATGTCTCTGCAGAAACATAAGGAAAATTATGTGAAAGTTTACACTAAATAAAACTGTTATATTTTCTCTTTTTAACATGACATTCTGAAATATTAGAAATAACATGCTTTCAAGATTAAATTTTGATCAGGTGAACGCAATTTGTAAACCAGGTGAAGATCAGTTGGATGTAAATTTGCAGAATTATTTTTATGCTCCCGCTGAACTGTGTAATTCAGCATGTGCTCCTTATGCGTCCTCTCCTATAACTACATATATAATAAAGATGAGGTAAACAATACAAGAATGAAAATAAAAACAAACCGTATATGGCCAAAATGACCATGGTGGTGAATAAGTTTGGGGACAGTCACTCCATTCATATGGTTTGAAACCTCTCAAATGGTTCAACAATTTTATAATTATTTGCAAAATAATAAAAAATTAAAAAAATTAGGGGCTTCCCTGGTGGCGCAGGGGTTGAGCGTCTGCCTGCTGATGCAGGGGACACGGATTCGTGCCCCGGTCCGGGAAGATCCCACGTGCCACAGAGCGGCTGGGCCCGTGAGCCATGGCCGCTGAGCCTGCATGTCTGGAGCCTGTGCTCCGCGGAGGAAGAGGCCACAACGGTGAGAGGTCCACGTACCGCAAAAAAAAGAAAAAAAATGAGAATTAGGACTTCTCTGGTGGTCTGGTGGTTAAGACTCCACACTTCCAATGCAAGGGGCTTGGGTTCGATCCCTGGTTGGGGAACTAAGATTCCACGTCCCACGTGGCGTGGCCAAATAAAGAAACTGATACAAACACCACTCTGGCTTTGATGATATAAGCTCCTGGAATCCTTACTGGGAAAAACTAACATAAAACAAAACCTTGAACAAACCCTCATCAGGGTTCCTGCAAACTGGGCAACATCCATATTTGGGAAAAGGTCAAGATTGGAAAGGGGTGCTGGGCCTCTGTGAACACACTGGACCAGGGAGACCAGGTTAGGTTATGGAAATAAGAGATATGAAATCTTCCAAATTCATACAACTGTCGTAACCGGGGCATAGGCCCTCTAAGGCATGCTGGTAAAGGCAACACAGATTTTTTTTGCAGCATTTAGTCTATACTGTAATTTACCCAAAGGGCCCAAAGAGCAGCATGTATTCCTTTTCTTGCCTTTTTTCAGTGTAGAGCTGTCCTCTCCTATCCTACCCAGCCTGGACCCTCTGCTCTAAAATTATACCTAATAAGCTAAACTCAAACTCTATGAGGTGTGATGATCTGGTTCAGGTAAGTCACTAACATATCAATGTTCAAGAAATATAACCCAGGGAGGGAGAGAGACGCAAGAGGGAAGAGATATGGGAACATATGTATATGTATAACTGATTCACTTTGTTATAAAGCAGAAACTAACACACCATTGTAAAGCAATTATACCCCAATAAAGATGTTAAAAAAAAGAAAGAAATATAACCCAAGGACCTCCGATACAAGCATCAAAAACTAAACAAAACAGAAAACTCTAACCGGTCGATTTTAGAAGAGAAGCTTTGAGTAGGAAGATTTAAGGTGATACCAGTCAACTCTCAATATTCTCTAGCCCAAGAAAATACATGGAAGTAAAAGATATGAAACAGCATTACACCAAGAACCAGCCACAACCCTATCCCAGCTCTTTGGTAAGAAACTCTAAATACTGTCTGTTTCATTTAGGATAATTCAATATTAATTTTAAATCACAGTTTTAAAGCAAGATCTCTCTTATAAACAAGGCTAAAACATGTAATGCTTTATTGTTGTTAATTTCATTTGTCAAAGCTAAGAAAACAAAGGTTCTACCTGGCTATGAATGGGTTTACTTCATTGTTTGACAAAATACATAGCTATTGACAACTGAATTTGGATAATAATGATCAATAAATTAGACAGTTATATTTCCACTGATTTCAATTTCTAAAACAGTGGTCTATTTAATTTATGTTGCCATCTTCTTTAAGAGTAGACAAATCAAAATGACATGTTTTGAGCTTGTGCTGGTAACTGTCAACATGAGAGCTTGAATTTAACACAAAGCATCCCTCTGGAGGAAATGAAGAATTCATAGTAACACAACTCACGTACACTCAGAAAATTTCCTTAACACAATGTATCTCTTGCTAAAAACAGAAGATACTTTTATGTCAACACTAATGAAACTAACAGAGGCACTGTTTTAAAAAATATGGTTCTCTACATTCATTGCTGAGTCACTTCTACTGCTACCATCTGTATTAAGCTACTTTACATTTCCATACTAAACCTTGAGTTCTCCACACCCAGCCTCCAGCACTTCACATTCACACTTTTTCAACAATTCTTTAATTCAGTGAAATAAAAATGCTGGTTGGGTTTTCTGAATCTACGAAGCAGATTAGTAGAAAGATGATTAAAACATGTTCCCTACTCTTAAAAATGCATTAGCTAGTAACATGTAATATAATATAATGTAAGAGTGTCTACTTTTATTAAAGACTGAAGAATTTTATTGGATGAACTACATACAAATAAGGAAATTATAAATACTCAGCTTGGACAAGGAACCAATGGAATAGCCCTTATCTTGGTGAATCGGCTTTTCCCAGTTCCAGTCTGTTTTCATTGTTCGCCAGCTGACTAACTCTGAGTTCTGGATCCCTGGGACAATCTTTTCATGATGGCTACACATCTAGCTCCAGACCAAAATTGCACCCTATGAAACACTCAACTGAACCACAGACTAATTGCTTCTCTGAATTTCTTTAATATGTTATTCTAAAGCCTCTTGACTTAAGGTCCAACAACTCTCATTGTTGCTTTTATGCCTTGACTTACCCAATCCCACTTTTTTTCTACACCAAAAGGTGGGTCAGACATTCCCAAGTTTTTGTTCATCTGGACACACTGTGAGATAGTTAGAGCAATGCGTATAAGCAGAAGTTTCATGGGCTGGATCCCAGTGCATGCAAGGCTGAGACCCTCTCTTCCAGCTCATGTTTTTTGGGGTTTCTTTTTGGCTGCATTGGGTATTTGTTGCTGCATGCGGGCTTTTCTCTAGTCGAGGCGAGTGGGGGCTACTAACTACAAATAAGTTCAGTTAAATAAAAACTCTTACATACGTTAGGGTTGTTTCCATTCTCCAGACTTGCTCGGGGTCTTCATCAGGGTCCTTGAATCCAGTAAAGGAGTAGTAAGACTTGTCCCATTTGATGGGCCTGTCTGATATCCTTTTGGCCTCTTTGAGAGGCTGGGAGTGCACATTAGTATTCAAGCTTTGGATATGTTCAATAGATAAACTGCAGGAGTTGAGAATATATAACACTGTGCTTAGCAGATCTCTGGTGTGCAAAGTAAATTTGACTGCTCGAAATCCTAGAGAATATAATTCCCCCAAACAGTTAATACAGATGATTATTTGCTTTACTTGAAAATCATTTCTTTTCATACAACATTTATAGAATCAAAATCTTTAAAACACTCCATTACTGATTAAAATTCATCCTATTGGAAAATCATCTGTAAATGGAAAACTACATCCCTTCTCCAAAACTGTACCACACTACCTCCATCTTCATGAAGTCCTCTGTCAGCTCCCGTTTCTAGTTTGGCGCCAGTGACCAAACCCACCCCAGCCCCAGAAGGGGATTGAGAATATTTTCAATGCTGTTCATAAATTTGGTCTCTACAGTCTAAGGGATGGAAAAGCTCTCCTAGGAGCAAGTGTCCACCAGAGAGGGTGTTCAGCACTAAAGAGAAGGGGGAGGGTGGAGGTAGGGGGAGGGTGGGGCAGGCTGCCCTGCGACAGTGGTTCAAGGAGGGGGGCCAATCCAGTCTCAGGGGTCACAGAAACCCATCTCAAATTTTCTCTACGGTTGAAAGAGACTGTCCTCATACTCCCCCATCCAACTAGCTAGGGACACAATATTTTCAGAAGTGACTACTCAAATTCCCTAATTTTTTAAAAGTTAGCACTTCACAATCTGACTTTAATGCAAGTAGTCCCTGGGCTCAGGGTAGTAATCTAACTTACGTCAACAGTAGGAAATCTACTGGTTCCCCTGCACCTTTATTGGGTATTAAACATGGCGCTAGTTGAATTTACATAACTTTTCAATGAACACTCTCACCAGTGCCATTATTATCTCTCTTTTCAAATGTGAAGAAGCAGAGGTTCAAGGAGGTTAAGAAGCGTGAAGTGAGGGCTGAAATCTGAGCTGCCACCAAGCCATTATAACATGCTGACTCTTTTTTCTTTCTTTGGAAAAATTTTTAAAATTGGTTTTGAAAATTATACAAGTGTTATATAAGCACATCCTTTTTGTAAAATTATATATACAAAGTAAAAGTCTCCTGTTGACAGGCACACAACCTCACACTTTCACTAGATGTAACCCTATTAAACATTTAGGTACACAAGCATTTAGAACTGTACTGTATAATATGGTAGTTACTAGCCATATGTGGCTATTTATTGGTAAAATTAAATTGGTTGAAATTAAATAAAATTTAAAATTCAGTTCCTGGTCATACTAGCCCCACTTCAAGTGCTCAGTAGCCACATGGGGCTAGTGCCAGCTGTACCAGGCAGTGCTCGTACAGAACAGTTACATCTCCGCAGAAAGTTCTTTTGGACAGCACTGCTCTAGACCTTTTCTATGTGCTTTGTGTGTATGTTATACATGATATATATGCTTATGTGTTTGCACAAACACACACCCAACAGTGTGGATTTTTCCTTTTTAACATATAAACTGCACCATTCTGGATCTATTACTTTGAACTTGCTTTTGTTATTTAACCTTGGTGACTCTTCCATTATCTGTATGTATACATCATTCTCTTTCTTTTTAGTAGCTCTATACTAATCCACATAATCAGTGTAGCACAATTTATTTAACACTGCCAAAACTGATAACTATAAAAGTTGTTTTTAATTTTTCACAATTCCACAGAAGGCCGAAATGTGTTTTCCTGTCTTTGCCACAGATGAAAGTCATCGCAATGTAAATCATTCTCAGAGATACCTACTATGCCTGCCACATAGATTTACAAAATGTAGGACATGCAAAGTAAGAAAGATTTTTTCATTGAATCATTGATGGTAAAGTGAGAAATACTGGTAGGAAAATTATTCTAGTCAGTGAAAAGGAAAGGAAAATGCAAATTCCTGCATCTGAGGTTAGGAAAAAATAGTTTATCCTCAGAAGAGGTAAGTCAAGGAATAAATCTCAGTTTCTCTCTTAATTTATCAATTCCATTAATTGTTTAATCCAAGGTAAGGGCTGCTATATAGTGTGGACTGCCTGTACCAGATTGGATATATCCTTTATTGGAAAATATTACCTAATTAATTTAGTTTGCATTTGATTACTGAGGCTAAACGTTTTTGTATCTTATTGGCTATATATGTGTATTATTTCCTGAACTGCTGAGATATTGTGTTTGCCCATTTTTGCAACCAGGCTGCTCTGTTTTCTTTTTGACTCCTAAGAACTACTTATAAACTAACATTATCTTTTTGTCACTTATGCTGTATGTTTTCTCCCATTTTAAATTTATTTATTTTTATTTATTTTTAAAAATTTTTTGCAGTATGTGGGCCTCTCACTGTTGTGGCCTCTCCTGTTGCGGAGCACAGGCTCCGGACGCGCAGGCTCCCCGGCCATGGCTCACGGGCCCAGCCGCTCTGCGGCATGTGGGATCTTCCCGGACCGGGGCATGAACCCGTGTCCCCTGCATCGGCAGGCAGACTCTCAACCACTGCACCACCAGGGAAGCCCTAATTTATTTTTTATAATCTATTTTTATTTAATAAATGGTTCAAAGTTAACCATTAACTGAAAGTAGAGGATTTTTCTCTTTACTCAGCCAGAGCTGACGACAGCTATTTGTTTTAGCATTTGTTCACAGAAAGCTCTTAGTAAATCTTTAAACTGTTTTAAAGTTCATTCTAAAAATAAAGTTATTTCCTCAAGGATCACGAAAAGCATGGACAGACCCACACTCATCCTTAGTTTAAAGGACCACTGGATCATGGCTAAAGCAGTGACAAAGGATAAAACAGAAGGCTGTACACGAAGACTGATCAGATTTTAGAAACAGCATGAGGCTAGAGTTAAAGGGTTCAAGACCCCTATTCTGTCTCCATGGTCCTGGGATATTACTAAGTTACAATTGGGCAAATAGTACCTTCCTCACAGGGTACTTTGAGGACTAAATTAGAGAATGTAAGCTATATTTTTTAAAGATATAAATTGTTATATAGACATTTAATACTTAAAACAGCACTGAAATAGGAAGGGGACAAATAGGAACACTTCAGTTTTCTAGTCAGAAAAGTTTAAACATAAAAAATGGCTCATCAAACACATGCAGCCAGGAACAGAATCTAACTCCAGGAAAACACTCAATTAAATGATATTATTTCCTATGACAAGGCTTCAACCCGAAGGTCTTCTAGCAACGTTAGACAGATCGGACACATCACACCAAGCCTGCAAGGGACACACGAGAAATAAGAAACGTACTGGAAGTGCTGAAGTGTTCCTGGCCATCAGAGGAGTTCTGGTCTGTTTCTCTTACATAAAACATAAGCTGGGTTGGTTTCAAAGACTTGAAGCCTGGTTTCTGGAGGTTTTCTAAGTAGGCACTTAATCTCTTAAGAGAATTTTCATTGACTTCCTGGAAAACAATATTAAGAGACATTTATACACAAAATAGAACAAGGAAACATCAGAAATTATATCCTGACCTTTTAAACACATTATTGAGTGTATTAAAGAATTTAGTATTAAAAAATGGTGGGATTTCATAGCTCCTCAGTACAGGATAAAATTGGATCCACACCCCACAACATGGAACTCCATAGGGATGAGATGTGTAAAAAAAATGTGGCCACATAAGTACTAGAGAAAACATGTCTGAGTTCCTTTATAAATTAGATGTGGGAAAAGCCTAACTATGACTGAATATCCCAGGTAATGAATGATTGATAAATCCAATTACATAAAAAAATTAAAAAACTTAATATAGCACAGGGAACTATATTCAATATCCTGTGATGAACCATAATGGAAAAGAATATAAATACATATATATGTATAACAATCACTGTGCTGTACAGCAGAAATTAACACATTGTAAATCAACTATACTTCCATTAAAAAAAAAACTTAAGAAAAGAACACATAAAAAACCACACACACACACACACACACACACACACACACACACACACTAAGCAGTCTACAGACAAAAACTGAGTAGAAGAAAATATGTGCAAGTTCTTTCTTTTCTTTTTCTTTTTTGGTCACCCTGTGCAGCTTGTGGGATCTTACTTCCCTGACCAGGCATTGAACCCAGGCCCACCGCAGTGAAAGCACTAAGTCCTAACCACTGGACCACCAGGGAATTCCCCAATTTGCAAGTTATTTCATAGCAAAGAGCTAATTTCTCTCTATATAAAGGGCTCTTAAAATGCCCTTTCAGAGACTGGTTGAATTATGGTATCTTCATTCAATGGAGTGCTACACAGCCAAAAGGAAAAAAAAGGGAAAGAATATGACACAGATGGTATTTAGGAATGTACACAGAGTGATCTCTAGGGTGTATTGGTAAGTGAAAAAAGAAATGTCTTTTACTGAAGGAACAGCTCCAAGAAATGGCATAAATAATAACTGTGCTTCTTATCCCTATAGGTCTCTTCTCAGAAACACAGTGTGATCTGAAATTAGGAACAGTTTGTTTGTTTTTGTTTGTTGAATTTATTACAATATACCGCTCTCAGCTATATTGTGTTGGGGGTTTGATGATTCACTAGAAGGATTTACAGAACTCAGAAAAGCTGTTATACTCACAGTTACAGTTTATAACAGCAAAAGGATACAGATTAACATCAGCAAAGGGAAAAGGCATGTAAGGTGGAGTCCCGTAGGGACCAAGCGCAAGGTTCCAGTTGTTCTCTCCCAGGGGAGTTGTACAGACAGTGCTTAAGCCCCCAGCAAGGATGTGTGATAACACATGAGAAGTGCTGCCAACCAAGGAAGCTCATCCAAGCCTTGGGGGCCAGGGCTTTTACTGGGGCACTACATGCCCACATGACTGACCATAGCTATTCAGTCTCCAGCCTCCCCAGAGGGCCTCAGACATGAGAAAACAGGCATTCACCATAAAATACATTGTTAGCATAAACTATCTGGTGTGGCCCAAGGCCCTGGCACACAAAAACATTTTTATCAGGCAAGGATATCCCAGAGGCTCAGAGCTCATCTCCCAGGAGGCAGTGAAGGGCCAGTACCGAAGCCAGGCATTTCTTTGCAACAAAGCAACCCAAGCCTGCTGAGTTCACCTTTTATAGCACACAGAAATTTTAGTAAAAAAAAAAAAGGTACACTGGTAGAGGAGGGAAACCAGTCACCTAGTACTAAGCTTAATTTTTCCTCACACGTTGGATTTAAAAACTTTAAATTATTAAACATTAAATTAAATTGTGTTAATTTATGACATCCCCAATAATTTGTATTAAATTATTACATCTCCAAGGTAGTATTTTTCTGTTGATTCAATTTACTAATTACTTAAAAAGGATATGACTTCGAATAGCCAATATATATATATATATATATATATATATATATATCAACTATCATAAACAGAATATTTTCCTAAAGCAAAGAAGCAAAACTGATTTATTTTCCATGGCAAGTAGAAAAAAAGCAATACAGGAAATTCCCTGGCGGTCCAGTGGTTAGGACTCCTCGCTTAGTTGGGGAACTAAGATCGTGCAAGCCGCAAGGCATGCCCCCCCACCCCCCAAAAAGGGGGAAATGCAACACCATAATGTTCTAATTTTCAAGAGTTTTAAATTCCTTTTCATGTTAAACCAGGTGTCAATGTTAAGGAAGATAAAAGGAACCAATGAAATTAGTCCAAAGCATCCGGCTTTGGAATATATTATCTAACATTAAAAAATAGTGACCTTCCTAACTAAGTTCATCATGAGTTTGTATTCCTTGAGAAGACATTAACTGATGATATAGGGAAGTGGACCAGCATGCAACATAAGGAAAAACTATTTGGGCACTGAAAAATCCCCCTTACATCAACCTTAAAAAAAAAGGACTGAACAGGGTATCAGAGCCCTTAAATTTTCCTCCAAACCCTCAATTTTACTTTCAAACCTGGTACAGAAAATATGATTCCTAATAGTCTAAGGAGTTTACATGATACCTTTATTGCCTGCATAAAACATGACAGCTTTCATTAAAAAAAAACAATAGTTTTAGTTTCAATTTTCAGTATCTATAGTTCAAAGCACTGATTATTCCACCATGACAAAACACCCCAGTTTATAGAACTCTCTGTATTATACTGTAGCAAAGGTAAATAAACTAAACAGAAACATAGACTAAATGTTAAAAAGTAAAAAAATAATTGTTTACCCTTTCCCTGGGGTGCTGTCCAAAGAAATCTGGATGTACAGCAAAATAGAATGGCCTCAAGGCATTGACTGCTTCAGCTCCCGATAAAGCTCTTGAGTAGAGAAACCAGTATGGAAATATCTTTCCTGGACATAACCTTTTTAAAAGATATGGATTTATTATTCACCGGAGCACTGACATGGACACAAATCCCCCGTGTATAAAGTGACAGTAGCATTAAGATTATTGTGTATGGAAAATACCGTAGAAATAAGACAGAAACCAAAGTGTAAAATTTTGTGGGTTTTTGAAATCTACAAAAGTTTTGAAAGCAGTGAGTCCCACATGATTTCTTTTCTTTTTCTCTTTTTAAAATTTACTTTTTTTTGGCTGCACTGGGTCTTAGTTGTGGCATGCGGGATCTTTCGTTGTGGTGCGCAGGCTCCAGAGCACACAGGCTCAGTAGTTGTGGCGCGCGGGACCTAGAGTGCAAGTGGGCTTCAGTAGTTGCGGTGCATGGGCTCAGTAGTTGTGGCATGTGGGCTTAGTTGCTCCGTGGCATGTGGGATCTTCCCGGACCAGGGATTGAATCCGTGTTCCCTGCATTGGCAGGCGGATTCTTAACCATTCCGCCACCAGGGAAGTCCCAAGACATTCCTTTTAAAAATGACAATTTACTGAGGCATTCATGTACATAATAGTTAATTAAAAGTACTAATTATTGCCAAATATGTTTTAGAACTTTTAAAACTTCACATGTCATTTTTATGGAACAGATCCAATTTTATTTTGGTTATATACTTTGAGCCAAATAAACACTTTATTTATCTCTTTTGACTTGGCTACCAAGAAGCCAGAATGAAATTTGATGTCTGAATAACTGTCTCATCAGTTCTATTTTTTTAACAAATGATCTTTCTCTAGAGGTCTCCATTTTGATTACCCTATATATGCCTATTACTGTGCCAATTAAATTTTACTGAACTCCTTAAATCCTTTCTTGAAGTAGATAGGGTTTAGACTATCTACTATTTACTACATAAATAGCAAATATAATAGTCAAATGACCTTACTATACAATTTAAATGTAACGTGGTTTTCTATATGACGGCAATAGACTTGAGGGCAACATGGTAATAAGAACTGTGCTGAGGACAAACTTTATCTTTTTTTCCTCTTAAACTTTACACACTGAACTGTTTTGAAAGATGGTATTCTTTTCACCTTCTACTCTGAATGGACTCTTGGGAGAACGGACCTGGATGTTCACATGAATTTTTTGTTTCTTTTTTTATTCCTGCCCTCCACCATATTACCCAAAAAATAGTTAGAATTTGATAAATTATAATAAATTGAAATTAGCTAAACACCTAACAGATTCCACACCCCTCCACCCCCACAAATACTAATAACAGATGGAACCACAAAGCTTACCTCCTCACAGGTCTCAGGTGGCAAAACATTTCTGAATATATATGTAGGTCAACTTCCAGGCATCCATTAATCACTTAAAAAGTTAAGCAGATACCAGTAATGAACATGTGTAATTTGAAATGAAAAACACATTACCATTTACATTTAGCACCCCCCAGAATGAAATACTTAGTTATAAATCTGACAAAATATGTACAAGATCTATATGAGGAAAACTGTAAAACTCTGATGAAAGAAATCAAAGAAGAATTAAATAAATGGAGAGATATTCCATGTTCATGGATAGGAAGACTTGATATTGTGAAGATGTCAGTTTTTTCCAACTTGATCTACAGATTCAATGCAATCCCAATCAAAATCCCAGTAAGTTATTTTATGGAAATCAACAAACTCATTCTAAAGTTTATATGTAGAGGCAAAAGACTCAGAATAGCCGACTCAATACTGAAGAATAATAAAGTTGGAGGACTGACACTACTGGGCTTCAAGACTTACTGTAAAGTTACAGTAATCAAGACAGTGTGGCACTGGTGAAAGAACAGACAAATAGATCAATGGACAGAATAGAGAGCCCAGAAATAGACCTACAAAAATATAGCCAACTTATCTTTGACAAGGAGCAAAGGCAATACTATGGAGCAACAATAATCTTTTCAACAAATGGACAGGAACAACTGGACATCTACATGCAAAAATATTAATCTAGTCACAGACCTTACACCCTTCACAAAAGTTAACTCAAAATGGGTCAAAGACCTAAATGTAAAACAAAAATACTATAAAATTCCTAGAAGAGTACCTAGGAGAAAACCTAGATGACCTAAGGTATGTCAGTGACTTTTTAGATACAACACCAGACACATGATCCATGAAGGAAAAGAACTGATATACCGAATTTCATTAAAATTAAAAATTTTGCTCTGCAAAAGACAATGTAGAGAGAACAAGAGGACAAGCCACAGACTGGGAGAAAATATTTGTAAAAGATACACATATCTGACAAAGGACTGCTATCCAAAATATACAAAAAACATTTAAAATTCAACAATAAGAAAATGGACAACCTGATTTAAAAAACGGGCCAAACACCTGAACAGACACCTCCTGCAAGAAGATATACAGATGGCGAATAAGCATATGAAAATACGCTCCACATCAAAGGTCATCAGGGAAATGCAAATTAAAACTATGAGATACTGCAACACACCTATCAGAATGGCCAAATCCAAAACACTGACAACACCAAATGCTGGTGAGGATGTGGAGCAACAGGAACTCTCGTTCATTGCTAGTGGGAATGCAAAATGATACAGCCACTTTGGAAGACAGTTTGGGGCTTTCTTACAAAACTAAACATACTCTTACCATATGATCCAGCAACTACGATCCTTAGTATTTACCCAAATGAATTGAAAACTTGTCTACACACAAACCTGCACACGGATGTTTATTGTGGCTTTATTCTTAATTGCCAAAACTTGGAAGCAACCAAGATATCCTTCAGTAGGTGAGTGGATAAACTGTAGTACATCCGGCCAATTGAATATTATTCATTGCCAAAAAGAAATGAGCTATCAGGCCATGAAGAGACATTGAGGAAATTTAAATGCATATTACTCAGCAAAAGAAGTCAATCTGGAAAGATTATATACTGTATGATTCCAGCTCTATGACATTCTGGAAAAGGCAAAACTATGGTGACAGTAAAAAGATCAGTGGTTGCCAAGGGGTTGGAGGAGAGGGAGGGATGAATAGGTGGAGCACAGAAGATTTTTAGGACAGTGAAACTCTCTGTATAATAATACTACAATGGTAGGTACATGTCATTACACATTGGTCCAAACCCGTGGAATGTACAACACCAAGAGTGAACCCTAATGTAAATTATGGACTTTGGGCAAGAATGAAGTGTCGGTTTAAGTTCATCGACTGTAACAAATGTACAACTCAGGTGTGGGAGGCTGGGTGCGGGGAGGGGGTATGTGGGAACTCTTGTACTTTGGTCAGTTTTGCTGTGAACCTAAAACTGCTCTAAAGAATAAAGCTTATTATTTTTAGAGGTTAAGCAGATAAAAGGGGGAACATGATTTGAATCACATGGACTTTTCCAATAATTTAGAGCTTCAGCAAGAATTTCAACTATACTATAGTCTCCATGTCAACTGACCAAGTAATTTAAAAAATTCTATGAGCAACCTGTCTTGAAATGCCATATTATTCACATGATAATCACCAGGTAAAAAATCCTTCCTTCCCCGGCTTATGAAGCTCTGAGCCTGTGGGAGAGTGTATTTGCTCAAAACAAACCACCACGTGGCTCAAGTCCTATTCTGTCAAATCTTAAGAATTAAAAAGTTTAAAACATTTTTTCATAATGCAGTTAATATATCTGAACCAAGGTAATGAAGCAAAACTGCCACTAACAGGATAATAGAAAGATGTATTTAAAAGACAAATCAAGAATTACCTATTTAAAAAGTGCATTTGCAAACAACAGTGGGTGCTTCCATTGATTTTCTGGTTGACTGGTGTGGCAAGACCCTCTTGGATACAGAATGTGTTTATAGGTATTCATTTAAATGTTTAAAAACGTGATTTTTATTTAACCATTCACCTTGCTATTTTGTTTGAGACAAATACGGATACCAGAAATACTCCTACCATTTGGAAACTTTCTGAGATTAAATGGCGATACAGTGAGGAAGAAAGAACCATTTTGACTAAAGTTTCAGTGCTGCCCATGACCGACTGAATTCTCACTGAACGTCATTATGAAGTAACTGAACGATCGCAACTTAGTAAGATAGAACAGGTACAAGCCTCCAAGCTTGCAAAGAAGAGACCAGAAGAATACACACATCCAACCCAGCACTGGCTCTCTTTAGGTGGTAGGATAGGAAGCCCTTTACTTTTTTAAATTTCCTAGTTTATTTACAATGAGCACGCGAAGTATGCTCTTAAAAAAAAAAAAAAAACAATGCTTCTAGCATACAAAATTAAACAATGAAAAGGAATAGAGCAGGAATACGTGTTGTTCATTCAGTATTTAAGACAGGCCCCTGGCCCTGGGAAATCTGTCCAGTGACAGCCCTGGACTGTGATTCCAGTCTAGCTCAAGAAGAAAACAGCCCCTCATATTCACACACAATGACATTTCATTTTTAGTATTAGTATGAAAATTTATGCCACTTAACTGCAAAGATGCTAATAAATGAGCTAAAACTTGGGTAAGAAACGAGGAATAATACTCGAGGAGCATATGATCAACCAAGAATATGAATGGGCAAGAGATGAAAATATTATGCAGCCAAGTTCTAACCATCATCCTTTTCAGCATAAAATGATCTTACAAGAAGCCTTGCAAAGTCAGAAGTACTGAACTAAGTAGGCCTAGAACTTAGGCCTACCATTGCAACAATGATGTAACCTGTTTTAATGTATCTTAGAAGTTCATGAAATCACAATGTCTCCATCTTATGTGCAATGTAGGTGATCCAAGTCATACTCCACTCCCCATTTTCCAAAGCAAGACATCAAAACAAATAAAACAGTGAAAAGGAACTGTCATGATCACTGATTTGAAATAGAAGTTAAAGCACACTAAAAAGACAATAAAATTTTTGGAAGTTGATTTAGAAAAGACTGGCTGTCTCCAATTTGATTCACAAAGAATTTGAGAGGCAGGCAGCCAAGTTACGCTGTTTAGAAATGTACATATCTAAACATCTATAAATAAGAATTGTTAGGAGGGATTTCCCTGGCAGTCCAGTGGTTAGGACTAGGTGCTTCCACTGCAGAGGGCACGGGTTCCATCCCTGGTTGGGGAACTAAGATACTACAAGCCATGTGGCCAGGCCACAAAAAAAAAAAAAAAAAACGTGTGTGGAGGGCAAAAAAAAAAAAAAAAAAAAAAAAAAAAGAATTGTTAGGAAAAGCTGATTTAGCGATTCATCTTGAGTTACTTCAGAATTACTCTCCAAAGAGTCACTTACAGCAAAGTTGCAAAAATAAGGGATTGTATCCTCAGTGACTTTCAAACATGGAGCATAAAGTACGTCATGCAGAGAATTATGGAGCATGTTTTAGAAGTGATTCTGTCAAAAATAATCAAAGACAAAAAAAAAAAACTTCCTGTATTTAAAAGTCCGGGTCTTCAGTTGTCCAGAAAAATAATTCATTCATTGTTCACTCTGTAATCATAGGGTATAATTAAACTTAGTACTGAGCAATGACTAAAAAAGGACATTAATACTTGGAAGTGTGACAAGGGATTCTCCCAATGAAAATAAAATGTTCTCAAATACAAGTCTGAACATTAAATCATGGTTTCTAGATTTAGAAAGAACTTAAAAAAAAATTAGGCTACTATGTTAAGAGTTAGGTATTTTCTGCCTGCTTTTTTGGTGAGTTGGCTATTTCCTAAAAAGGTTCACACTGCAGTAAAGAGAATTCGAATCTAGACTTGTGCTGCCTAATAAGGGAGCCCCTAGCACATGTGGCTACTGTGAACTGAGACGTGTTTTAAGTGTAAAGTACCCATTGGATTTTAAAGATTTAGTATGAAGAAAATGCAAAGTATCCCATTAATAATTTTTTATCCTGATTAGATGTTGAAATGATAATTTATTAATTTCACTTGTTTCTTTTTGCTTTTTTTTAAAAGCAAAACACGACCTGGTCTTTTGTGATTTACTACCAGAAAAATTTAAATTACATCCGTGGCTCATACTGTATTTCTCTTGGACGGCGCTGATCTAGGCCAATTCAAGGCAAATTTAAGCGAACATGACACTGTCAGGGAAAGCTCAGTAATTGTGGCGCACGGCCTGTTGCTCCGCAGCATGTGGGATCTTCCCGGACCAGGGCTCGAAACCATGTCCCCTGCATTGGCTGGCGGACTCTTAACCACTGCGCCACCAGGTAAGTCCTGTGCTGTTTAAAGTGAGGCATTAAATCTTCTAGGCAGTTTCACATCAAATTGGGTAGGAAGAGATATCTAAATTGGTGGAAAAGCCAAATTATGGGTCGTCTAAGTTTTGTTTAAATTACATTCGATAGAAACCACGTT